CCGGGATTTCATTTTATTTTTTATTTTTTTGGCAGCCTTGAGCGCGAACCTTCACTGTGGGAAAACACTTGGCCTTGAGAAATCCTTCGAACATGGGAAAATTTTCCAGGAATACGGTTGGGAAACCAGGACCTTTGAGGAGGGGAAAAAGAAAGCACCTTTGATACAGGGAGGAGGGTTGAGACAGGCACATACCATTGAGAAGGTAGAAAACCCTTCGTCCAGACTTTTGAGTTTAGCTCTCACAACACGTTCTGTGTGTCTATCGATTCATACATGCATCTGTCCGTCTCTCTGTTCTTCCAGCCATCCATCGATCTATCTAGCTATCGGAGACCGCCAGTTTTTAACACGTTTGACTTCAGAATGTGCTTCGCGCCACCACGGCGTGCACTTTTTCGACATCTGGACTTCCACAAGTGGAACGGCGTACACTTGTTCGGCATCTCAACTTCCAAAAGTGGTCCGAGACCGCCAGTTTTTTACACTTTTGACTTGGAAATATAGTTGTAGTTGTAGTTATAGTTGTTGTAGTTGTTGTTGTAGTTGCTGTTGTTGTTGTTCTTGTAGTTGTTGTAGTTGTAGTTCTAGTTGTAGTTGTAGTTGTTGTGTAGTTGTTCTAGTTGTAGTTGTTGTAGTTGTAGTTGTTGTAGTTGTAGTTGCTGTTGTTTTTGTTGTTGTTGTAGTTGTTGTAGTTGTAGTTCTAGTTGTAGTTGTAGTTGTTGTGTAGTTGTTGTAGTTGTAGTTGTTGTAGTTGTAGTTGTTGTGGTTGGTGTTGTTGTTGTTGTTGTTGTTGTTGCTGTTGTCGTCGAAGTTAAGGTAGTTAAGTTAGTGAAGTTAGTTAAGTTAATCAGTGTCTACTTTTTCGACATCTTCACGTCAAAAAAGACTCAAAACCCTCAGTTTTTTACACTTTTGACTTCGAAATGTGCTTCGCGCCACAACGGCGTGCACTTTTTCGACACTTTTTCGACATCCGAACCTTCAAAAGTGGTCCGAGACCGTCAGTTTTTAACACTTTTGACTTCAAAATGTGCTTCGCGCCACAACAGCGTGCACTTTTTCGACATCTCGACTTCCAAAAGTGCTCCGAAAATGGTGTGCTTTGTACATTTTCACTTTGAAATGTACTTCGCGCCACAACGGCGTGCACTTTTTCGACATCGCAACTTCCAAAAGTGCTCCGAGAATGGTGTGTTTTGTACATTTTCACTTTGAAATGTACTTCGCGCCACAACGGCGTGCACTTTTCGACATCGCAACTTCCAAAAGTGGTCCGCTCCTCTAGTGTTTTGTCCATTTTGACTTGGAAATGTGCTTCGCGCCGCAACAGCGTGCACTTTTTCATGTCTCATCTGGCCAGCTGGCTCCGCACCCGCCGCTTTAGCGAGCCTACTTTTCGACCCTCCGGAGCCACAAATCATTGGAAAAACACAGTGAATCGCGACTTTCCTATCTTTTCGCGCATCTACCTCTTCTTTCTTCTTATCTTTTCTCTTCTCTCTGCCTCTTCCCTGCTCTGCGTTTCAACTGTCCATATTGTCGGAAGTTTAGCTTCTAAACTTCCTTCGATAATATGTTTCAGTCATCCCCAATAAGTCAGTTCATAGAAAGCAAACCGTTTAACCACGTCTAACTCATTGGCAAAATATGATGAAGCAACCAGCACCGGCTTTGAATGATGTTTTGTACAACACACACAGACACCACACAGCCTGCCCAGTTTTTCAATCCCGAGGTTGGCACTGGGACCTGCATTTTGGCCAAGGTTCTCAAACCTGGTGGATATGGCTAAGGCTAAATCTCATCCCTCACGATCCTATTATAAACAAAACATTGTATATATGGTCCCAAGTATCTGTAAATCCCCCACTAAAATATGGTTTCTGGGGGGTGTTTCATATTAGGGGAATGGGATTTCTGAGCTATAAATCACACTCCCCAAGCTTTGATCCTTTAGAGAGTAACACTTACACTGCCAGTGCAACATCTCAAAAGCATGGAAACAAAAGGTGTTGAAGGAACCCTCCAAGGTCCTAAGACAACATAAAACAACATAAAACAAAAATAACTTAAGTCGAAGCAATATGGGTTTGTTTGAAAATAGGCTACCCATGGCTACCCTAAATCCATTGGCCGATGAATTGACATGGCTATTTGGGGCTATTCCCCATTTTCAGACGCCATAGCTGGTTGGCAAGCACCAGCCCGCCCAAGAAATCTCTCCACTGGGACCATCGTTGACCATCGATCAACAAAGAGTCAGGAGTTTAAGCTGCGATACACCCTCTGGTAAACTAACATACATAGCCTACATAGCCTACATAGCCTACATAGCCTACATAGCCTACATAGCTATAGAAAATCATCATTTTGAAGAGGCAAATCAACTATACATGGGGTATTAGCTATGTTAAATTACCAGAGGGATCCAGAGCGTATCTTTCAAATCATAGACTCATCAACCTACCAAACCAAGGTTTATTCGGCTGCCAGACTTGGGCATGAAGAAAGCGTCACCTTGGCCATCAAGGCAGGGGCGCCAATCTTTGACGGTTAGCATGAGTGCCCCAAGAGCTACTTACTAAGACAGAGTTTGTGACACTAACACGTTTTGGTTACTGTGGGACATGGTTCTACCAGTGGCATGTGCTAATTCGAGAGCCGGGTACAAGACGCCATGCACCGCTTCGGTTTTAAACATTTTTTGATGTCTTACCAACATGGTCTTTCTGAATCCAAAGGGAATTGGCGAAACCGTCATGAAACTTGTCTGTCGCGGATGTTTTTCTCCCCCCTCCACCTGTCATCCTTGCACAACAAATCAGGATGCCATAAATTCGTCATGACCACTGGAGGACAGTTTTTTTACAACGTGTGTTTTTGCCATGCAACGGGTGAGAAGGGGCCCTTAACATTTTAATGCACGTTCAAGAATATTTCGGAACCAGCAGCGTTCCAAATGCTAATGAAATCGAATCTTAGCTTACCTTTTTATTTAGTTTTATTTCGTAGACTGTGTCAACACAGTCTAACCCATCCCTGAAAAATAAGTTACCAAATGGGGAATTCAAGTGGAAACTTATGCGAAAAATGCTGAGCATGCACCTGGATCCTAACATCAAAAATGCAGGTGAATCACTTCTGATCATTCTGAAACTTTATTGAAATTTGGTGTTGTCCCAAAATAACATAGAGTCATAGAGATACCCAAGAAACACTCAAAAACCTAAAGTGGTGGGTGTATCATCAACTTTTCAACGTCCCATTCAAAGCCATAAATTCACAACAAAAATCACCAGCCGCCTATCCCACAACTGAAGCCCTTTTGGGGCCTGGCCCCACCCAACATCCCCTGAAATCCACGGGTCATCCCCGACGGCACCTGTAGCACTGGAACTTCGCGACCGCCCCGTTGGTGTGCTCGGAGCCGACACCTCAGCTTTGTCAACGCCAGATTCCGGGGCGGCAGCTTTACAAGGGTCATTTTGGGATCATCCAACGCATTTTGGAAAGATATTTTGGGATCATCCAACACATTTTTCCCAGGATCTAATTTCTTTAGTTCCTATAAAAAATTATGGAAGATTATGGAAGTATAAAGATATTTGAGGTGTATTCCCTGCAGATTTCAATCATTCTTCCAAATCAGGATGCAGTAAAACCGTTGTTGGGACCTCTCCGCACCACTGGGACTTCCAGCCCCCCGCCCGCGCGGCGCCGGTGCCGCCGGTGCCGCCGGTGACGCTGGCGTGGGCGACGGCGCGCTGCTGCGCGCTGGCGGCACGGTGGAGGTCGAACCTCGGCCCAACGGGCCCAGGCAGTGCCCCCATGGAGATTTCTAGAAAGTGGGTCCCCTATAGATAGTTAAGTTGGTTCATAACCTAGTTCACTATGGTTTATGGTACAGTAGATATAACGGTAGAACATATATAACTATAATCTCATAAGTGGGGGGGCCCACCTTGTAGCATAACTGATGAAGCAACATTAGTTATACTGTAAATATGAGGGAATCACCTTGTGGAGGATCATGCTATGGTTATCAAGTCCTAGATTCATAAGGCTATACCAATTCCATACATAAATGCGGTGCAATGGCTAACGCACACACACACATATATATACATATATATATATACATATATATATATATATATGTATATTGTGAACTGGTAACAGATCCCGGATTCCTCCACCTCCAAGCTGCTGATCGCGGCAAAATCTTTTGACTCTCAATCGCTGCTATCCACCGGCCACGGTGTATCCGCAGGAGTGTCCACACTCCAATCTCTGAACCACAGAGAAGGCAACCAATGGCGCTAACACCAACAGCCCTCCCACCCACACCTGGGCCACTTCCTGAGCCGAGCTGGTGCTTGGCGGAAGAAAGGTGTGTTGAACCTGAGAGTTGGTGCGGCAGCAAATTGGAAAATCACAGTATATATATATATACATATATATATATATTTATACATATATGTATATATATATATATTTATTTATTTATTTATTTATTTATACATATATATATATATACATATATATATATGTATATACTGTATATATATATATATGTATATACTGTATATATATATGTGTATATATATATATTGCAATTGCAATGGAGTTACTATACTACATACGGATGGACCGGCTGGCCATGAATTCCCATGGAAACAATCCAGGATGCACTGCAATTCTGCTACGCCTGGGCCTCAGGAGAGAGTTACCATTTCGACTATGGTGACAATTCAGGAATATTGGGTCTGAAATAGTCTAGAAATGGGATTATCATGGATTATCTATGTCAATGTCATCATAGTAATTTAGCAATATATGACAATTATTGACAATTCAGGAATATATTGACATATTTCTTTTCTTTGTACCCCTGCGTTAGTTGCGGATTATCACTCATTACTAGACAAGTGACCATAGACGGGAAAGTTTTCACACTATAGTCGGAGGTCAGGTTCCTTTTCGTGCAATCCAAATGGCATCCACTTCAAAGCCTCAAGCTCTCCTCATAGCAAGAAAACAAACATCTTCATTACTCTCCATTCACAAACGGTCCAAAAATTCGAGATTTCCCAGCATCCCCCAGAGTCTCCCTTTTTCGCGGAAAGCGCCGCCGCCTCACCATCTCTGAACTGCACCTCCACCGTGACCGGATCCTGCGCTTCGCGGCCGCGCCACAACTTCCATGGGATGTCGCGCGGCGACTCACAGCTTCGAACGTCGGGCTTTCGCCTGGATGTTCGTGACATCTAGCACTGTCACAGAAAAAAAAAAACGACAAGGAAACACACATGATTATTGATGATTATTGACATTGATTATTAACGGTACCGGTTATTATTGTTATTATTGTGATATTATATTGATATATATATATATATTGATATTATTGATGATTGTTGTCGCAAATGGCAAGAACTTGTTTCCACCAGCCCGTCATTTGGTAAGACTTGGTAAGCCCCATGTCGCAATGGGGTGAATCTGCACCGCTGAAGAAGAGCTTGGCTTTAAAAAAAGTGATCCCAGCTTGGCTCATGTTTTTTGTTTCAAGATATATATTTAAAAAATCCAAGCCTCCTGCCAAATTGGGTGTGTCTCAAAATAAATGAATGAATAAACCAATGAATAAATAGGATAATATTATGGTAATTACATAATTACTGCAAATTTTGATGCTTTCTCATAATTGCACGCATTTCGATTTTCCAACAGTCATCAATTGGGGCAATTCAGGTATCCACACTTTGCAACAAAGCCACAATACCCTCATGGTTGTCAAACATAGCTTTCTGCAAAATCCCGCATTAGTTACTTTCGTGCGATGATTGACCCCACGTTTTTGGCATGCCCCAAAAAATTGGCAAATTTCCCAGCTAGCCATGTTTGATGACACCCAAGGGTGATGATCAAATCACCCATTTTCAGAATTTCACGATTCTCACTTTTCTTGGTCCCTTAAAATCACCATTGAATCACCATTAAAAACTTTAAACCGCATTGAATCCTATTTATATAAAGCCCCATTGAATCACCAATATCATGCAATTCACTCCCTACGGTCAATTCCCCATTTTCTCCGAATTTCCCCAAACTCCACCGGCCCCCGGCGCCGGCATGGCGTTTTTCCGCCTTGTGCTCCGAGGGCGACGCCTTGGGCGCGAACTTCAGCATGCCGCGGAAGACACACAAGACCCGGCCAGAGGCGCCACCCGCCTTGGCCCAGCCCTGGACCAGGATCAAGTCCTGTCGTTCAACGCTGGGGGATTAACCATGGCCATATCCCATAGGATCCATGTATGGTATATATGCTAACATTGGGGGTATATTAATGGTAAATGTTACCATATACAGCAGCACCATGGATCCTATGGGTATGGGTACGGTAACCATGGATTCATGTACGGTTTACTGCTTGAATCAAATCCTCCGGCAAAAAAAACACGCAACAAGTGAATCGTGAATCATCTATGACCCAGCAAGATTACGGGATCCCCCATTTTTGACATCAGATAAATGTGGGTAAAACAATGTCATAAACCCCCCATGACTGGGAATGGTTTATGCCAAACAGTACCACCTAAAAAAAAGGTGGTGACTGGGGGATGGTTTTTTGGCACTGTTTTACCAACATTACAGAATTAATATTATATGTATTTCCAGATGGTATGTCAGAAACTATGACAAATAAGTGTCAGGGTGCGGATCACTCGAAGTAAAGTAATTTATCCATTAATAACCACCATTATTACCCATCATTAACCATTATTAACCATAAATAGTTCACTACAGGGATACACTGGGTAATGATGGTTACCCTCTGGTAAACTAACATAGCTATGGAAAATGGCCCATTTATAGATGGTTTACCTATTAAAAATGGTGATTTTCTATAGCTATGTTAAATTACCAGAGGGTACTCCCTGTCCATGAAGAATGCCACTGCAGTCCTTGTCACTGGAAACCTTCACCACTTCCCCTCCTCCCAGGACCAGAGCCCCCTCGCGGCAGCGACCCATGAAGTCCTGGCGTGACGCCGCGTGGGGAAGGTGCGTTTTTTTTTTAGTGATAGACCCGTGACCCATCCACTAAATAAACCAAAAACGCTTGGAGTCTATCACTTCTAAGATCTTCGAACGTAAACAAACATGTACCAATTTGGGGTGATTGTCAGCCGCAATCAATTGGGGCTCATGATGGGGTTTCTACAGTACTAATAGCATTTCATGGGATATTTGTGGGAATATGAACAATCGCATTTCTATAGTGGGTGTGTCTGCAAAATGGGAAATGAACAAATAAATGTTTCTGGATGACAATGGATGCTTAACCAGTGGATTTAGGGGTTTACGGTTTATAATTTTCAGACACACCTAAACTGGGGGATGCAGTTCCAGCTACAGGTGGGCATGTAACATATGTGTCTAGGGGCCTCATATCATCCCAACTTCTGGAAGCTATTCCCCTTGTTGCTGCACCCCTGGTATATACTCAGCATCAAATATCAAGGGTTTTTTGTGGGGTACATATGGCTAATCGGAATGACTTGCTAGCCTGCAAACAATTTAACATTTCGCTTGCGATGTATCAAGTCAAGTGGGATGATATACAGGATAGCAACTTGGAAGTTCACCGGCCAAAACTTGGGATTTGTACTATGTGACTGACAGACCATATTCAATGCTGAGTCATAACATGTCATAACATGTCATAACATGTCATAACATGTCATAACATGTCATAACATGTCATAACATGTCATAACATGTCATAACTATCATGTTTTCTCAGGGAACCAGAGCTGGACTTAAGTTGTTTAAGTTATGTGGAGTAGCTCCAGCGGTTTAACATGGTTTAACGGATGGACCGATGGACCGCCTTTACTCTGGACCATCATAACATGACCCATCCATAGTTCGCTGGGTATCCCATCTCGCCGCCGAGGATCAATATTCATACTGAGTGTCCTGGCGACATCGAGGATGGAACGGTCCACGGTCCACGGTCGCCAGATTTTTCCCAAAACGAAATCTAAATGGCCAAATTCAAATGACGAAATCTAAATCTGGCCGTGTTTTGGATGACATTGAACCAGCAACCAGCGAGCTGTCTTGAGGAAAACACAGCGGTACACAATGACTTGACCGAATGTGTCATGTGAATATAATATGAACATGTATTAAATACACACTTTGCCAAAAGAAGAATAACGTATGGAAAACCATCAATAACCACCAGCCCTCAGTGTTTTTGTTCAGTTCCATGCCACCCATCAGTGTTTTTCACCGCTCATCTCCACCCTGCAGCTGAGAGACACGTAGGTTCGGCCTGTCGTTTCCTGGGCCAGGGTGCCACGCAAAACATCGCGCTGAAGTGTCGCAAAGAAACATGGTAACATGATGCATTCCAAGCAGCTTCAATCCATTCCAAGCATCGTTTGGGATCAAACATGGATCAAATATCAGTCCCAGGGAATTCCAGGCTTTGGTGACACCGCTGGTCATGGAAAAGTCACGAATGCCAAGCTTGTCATCTTTGGATGCTGCAGGGTTGACTGCCCAATTTTCATTACTGACTCATTGGACAGGAACGCAAACCAACCCCAAAATCATGATTGTCCACCTTATTCCCATGTACAGTAGTTGGTTGTACCCCCAATTTCTGCTAGTTACTGCTAGTTCCTAGCTCGCTTTTCGTGTCAAGCTAGAATCCCAAAAATCTCCAGCCCAGTTTCAACGGTATGTTCTCGGGCAATGATGAACAGGGCGGCATCCTCAAAACTGAGTCGAGAAAACTCATGAAATTCAAGTGTATAGACTTTGGATGACTATGTATTTGCGCGTCAGAATGTACTGAAAACATCTAGTGCCAGAATCACGGATTGCTTATGTTTGTTGCTCTGCAACTCTTGATTTTTGTTGAGTTTGTAATTTCAAAATCATGGTCAACAAGTGGTTCCAATACCGGGGTATGTTCCAATACCCAACGCATCCATCCGTTTGGTCACGGCCATGAATCCAACACATTTCAGCAAGTCTTCGTCTTGGTCTGGCACATGGTTTCAAACTAAACAAATAAAAAAAAGAGATTGGTGAATTGGGTCCAACCTTCCAAGAATGATGGAAATTCACAATACTTGAAATCACCAACTAATCCTTTCCCCCAATATTTCGACAACCCCCAGAAACCATGGTATTGTCAATAATTGTAGGGGATTTACACCATACAATGGAGGTGTTTAAGAGTATGGAGACGAGGTTAATAGGAGACTCACCATATCTACCCTGCTTCTGAGGCGGTTGAAACCAGACTGGGGCAGACCTCTGAAAATAGACTCATAAACGATTGGTCAATTTTTCCCAAAATCAGCTGATGTTGTCCCTTCAAACATCATGCAGCTGGTTGCATCTCCATTGCCTCTGATCTGGAGGTTTCCGAAAATTAGGGGTACCCCAAATGGATGGTTTATGATAGAAAATCCCAATCTAAATATGGATGATTTGGAGGTAGCCCTATTTTAGGAAATCTCCATCTAAACCGCATCTCACATCCATCTCCAAGGCACGCAAAACGACATCAGCGCGCCACCGTGCAGGACGCCAATGGCATTGCACATCTGAGAACTGACCTGGAAACTGCCGGTCTTCGGTGGGCTTGACACAACACTTAACTTCATGAGCATACGGCTATCCAACAATATCACATTTATTTCAGGGATACCACTTATAGATGGTTTCATCAGATATACCGATATACCCTTAGAATCAGAGATAATTACCTTCTGGTTATTTAACAGTTCGCCATGGAAAATCCACCCATTTTTAAGTTCGGTAAACCATCTATAAATCTATGGGCCATCTATACCATGGCGAACTGTTAGTCATAACCAGATGGTACCCAGAAATAAAGTTTCGATCATCGGCTCATCGACTGTTTCAAGGCATCCAGGCGAGCAACTCTCATGGTCATCACGCGCTCCTGGGCCGAATCCCCCAAGTATCTGGATGTTGGAAGGTGAAGCCATCGATGTGAGGCATTAAACATGTATATCTATCTCTCTCTCTATATATATATTTGAGTATATATGTATGTTGTGTTTTAAATAAAATGAAGAAATAGTTTACCTTATTCAATGAAATACTACTTAGTTGGTTGATAGGGTTTTCTCATTGTTTTGGCTTATCATCCCCAATAAATTGAGATCTTCAAGGGCTCACCTGTGTTGACATGGTGTCGCACCTCTGGATGATAGTAGAAAGGGCCAAGGTGATCTTGGTATGGATCCGCCAGACATCTCTTGAAGCCACTGGGTGGAAAGTCCTCCGAACTTTCCATGGCTTAGCGTTCAGCAGTTGTTTGAAAAAACCTACTGGGCTGAAGCTGTGATCTACCCTTTGGTAACGTAGCGAACTGGAAAAAATCACCATTCAAATAAAGGTATACAAATCATCAGAAATGATCTATAGATGCTCCATCTTCCATAGCTATGTTAAATAACCAGAGGACCAAAGGGCGGTGCCGCAGTTGCGGCAGTTGTGGCAGCTGAGCTCGACCCAACGACCTTTGTACAATGGGGTGTCTTCTATACATTCCTTCATGTCCATTAAACAACGGCCCATCTCAAATCAAATGTCTGTCACATGATGTACGGGGCGGCCGACCCAACTTGAGCTTCTACGATGAGAATCGATGAGATGGATTTGTATCTGATGTCGCTCCTTGAGTCAGAGCTGCGGACGGCACCTTTGCCCACATCCCTAGTTACCTATAGGATCCATGTATGGTATATATGCTAACATTGGGGGTATATTAATGGTAAATGTTACCATATATAGCAGCACCATGGATCCTATGGGCTATACAACATCACTGGTCGGTTGCTGGAGATACAACCTATCCAGCTCATGACAAGTCCCCTGCAGAGAGTGGATCACAGTTCCTGATCAACCATCATTCCAACGAACTTGATCCATGTTCGACCTCAAAAGGTAGGATTTACATCCTTAGTTTCTAGTCATTTTAGATATTTAGTAAAATATATGATTTGCTCAAACATGGAACCAGTGTACGTATAGATGTCATTCAACTTTGCTGGGTTGCAACATCAGCCAATCATTCAGTTTTACCCTCTATGTGTCTGCTCTTGGCGTCTGGGCCATTGCTGGCCATTGGTTAAAAAAAACGCAGCAATAGCAAAGTAACAGGTTTCCTGACCAAAGCCATTGTAAAGGTTTTATACAGAAACAACACGACCCTAGCTTTTCCTGTGAAATGGTGTGGTATCTGGTATCCCAGAGGGCTTTGTCTTTAAGAAAAAACACCTACCCTCTGGTTATTTAACAGTTCGCCATGGAAAATCCACCCATTTTTAAGTTTGGTAAATCATCTATAAATCTATGGGCCATCTATACCATGGCGAACTGTTAAATAACCAGAGGGTAAATCCACTGCTTCATAGTGATCATCATCGTCCTTATTGGAATCACCATAAATGACGCTAGTAGAGGCACACCTAGAGGCACACCTAGAGGCCCCCATAAAATTTATCGGAACATATGGAAGATCATTTACACTTTCCCCTTAAAAGCAACGGAAGGGTACAAGTTGGCCACACCCCAGTTATAAGCTGGTTTAGAAACCCAATGAACTATATTTACATATATTTATATCATGTTATATCATATCATAACATATAAACCATCTATGTTAACTAGGTTAAGCATCATATCATCATATCATATCATTTTATATCATCAAATCACAAGTTATCAACCAGCTTATAATTATCATTCAACGTCATGTTATAACCATCATTAACCTTGATAACTTAGTCATCATATCATATCATATCATTTCATCAATAAGCCTTAACTATATAGGCCTTATATATGGTAGGTACCTCCAAGTTAGGATCCTGGAATGGCCATTGATTTCATAAGTTATCAACCAATTTGACTCAGCTATCAGTTGGCCAAGCCACGCGCCGGCTCGGCCTTTGCTTCTGGACGCGACGAAGCGTTGCCACGCGTAGTCGCTCCACAGTCATCACTCGGCGGACGAGACTGGAGGTTGAACCAACCGAAATATGGGCAGAATGGGGGATACGATATGTATATCCACATATATATATATTATATGTATATATATATAATGTATGATTTGACAAATATGACCATTGTGGCCAACAGCAAAAAAAAACATTTAGGAGGATTAATATAACATTAGAAACTATGTTGGTGTTCAGCAGAGTACCAAGGTTCTGATCAATGTCCGTTTTATGTGACCGGATTGATATAAAGAACATCTTGATGAAAACTAGGGTTGACACCGATTTGCACCACTTTTTGACAAGCTTCCTGAAAGTTCTTTGCAAACCCAAAGGTGGGAATATCTGAACCAACAATTCTTCACTTCTGCACTGGACCTATTGATGGGAGAACAAACAGAGAACTACATCCATTATCATCCGCATATAGTCTGCAAGCGTTCCCTGCACGACATTGGTTCCATGTCACGTTTAGTCCATGATTTGGAGGTTCTCAATGACTATAAGCTGAGTCCAAGGGTGTCTACTGACACCCCTGGTTAAGAAGTCCCAGGCTGTGGCTTGCACTACGGGGTTACAACAAGGGGACCTTGGTTACTATTTCTCACTACCCTAAGAACAGCTGAAGTATAATGGGTGTATAAACAATCCCCGGTTGGTTGTGGCATGGGATCTAGAATATATAACATTTTCCTAATCATTCACTCCCCAGAAAAGGGAACATGCGAACAGACTTCCCAAAATATGTCTCCCCCTAACTACTGGGTAGTGAATTGTATACATGTGTGACACAAAGCTCTTGTTCAACACCATTGACCATGTATATATATATATGTGCATTAATTACATGTGTATATGTATATATATATATACACAGTACATTTACTGTACATACATTCACAAGTATATCATATTACATAATATGTGATATATATTAACCCGTTCACCAGCAACAATACACCAGAGCCAACACCACTTTTATTCGTTTACCAATCAAATCATGGCATGACACCTATTCGTTCCCAGGAAATCTACAGTATGCGTAATCATCATATGGGGATGGGTCAAAACCCTGGTACCTAGTGAACCCCAAAATAGCTGGTAAATGGATGTTCATCCCACTAAAAATGAAATTAATAGGTATTGACCCACCCCCATATCAAAATGGTGACCATGGAATAGTTATCTAATGTTATCTACTATCATGGGATAGCCATAAGATCTACTGTCATGGGATAATATGGGATAACCATAAGCTAAATCATAGTATCAACATTCTCATTTTGTTTTTTTAGAATGTGAATATTCTGAATATTTGGAATATGAAATAGACATATTCTGTATGTATTATCTCTCAATAAAATATGAGATGTGGTGGGGTTCCTAAATTATGGGTACGCCAAACCATTGGTTTCCCCTTGATGACAACCAACAACTTGAATGATTTTGAGGTCCCCCAATTTAGGGAACCTTCATGCACAGAAAGATCTCCCCGAGTAAAAGAAACATGGGATCATTTTAAGGGAACAAATTACGGGAACCGCCATAGCTCATAGGCAAAAAACCATGCTTTAACCTGTACTGTAGATTTTTTGCCTTAAACCAATCCAAAGTACCAATGAGTCAATCGGATAGAGCTGAATCCGCCTGCACTCAGATCGCTCATCGCAGGGACGACGCCTGCGAAGCCGCAGAGATGACGTTGGTTGACCGACCATCGGATTTACTGATCCGGGGACCAGAGACGTTTTTAAAACGACACACCATTGGATTTTCATGATCGATTCAACGAAAGAATCACACACATATAAAAGATATATGATGTATATGATGTTTGGACTTTCACAACTCTCATCTATTCAACAAAAACTATTTCCACCCACCATTTCCCATAGATTCCCGTGGAATTCATCCCGGCTTCCCACGGAAAGATGTTCATCCTTTGGAAATCATTCCCAGTGGGTATTCAACCAATCAATAATATATATCAATGATATAAAATGCCAAAAAAGAGCCATCAATAAAGCTGAAATTACAACATTTAAATACATTTAAGCCACGAGATATCTTATTTTTCAATGCTGAACAAAAAAAAAAACGTAGAACATGGTTGCAGTAAACATGCCAATTCAAGGGTCCAAACATGACTCAATCCCCCCAGTTTCAGAGACATCCAAATTGGATGTAGCAGTTGGTTATATTCTATCATGAGATATATATATATATAATATATGTATATTATAACTATATTAATATGTACATATAATATGGATATTTACATCCCATTTATATTATATTCCCATCATATTTCCATGATATTCCCATGAACTTTCCATGAAATGGCATAACTCATGGCTAAAACCAGCACAATCCACCACCTCAACCCGTGATCCGTCAAGTGACCAGGGGCAAAAGGTTGTCTTGGCAGCTGCTGGGTTGCCTGGGTTGCCTGCGCGGCATCTTGGAGTTTTTCTATGGAGTTGAGAGAAAAAAAACAAGATGCAAAACTGATAGATTGGTTATGTCTGATAGAATATATTATATGTTATGAATATCAGTATGTATATATATAATATCATGAATATCAGTAATTATATATATATCATTATACACATCAGATCTAGATACCAATAGATTGAACCATTGGTTATGAAGTTTGACTGATAGAAACTGATAGAATCTGATGGAAACTGATATGACTAACAAGTTTGATAGGATATGATGTGAGCCATGGTGTTAAGATTTAACAGCATAGTCTGAACCGTGGTACAAGGTGGTTTAATACGGTTCATCTTGGATGCCCTGCTGAACAAGATAATTCTTCTTGCGCTGGAGAGTTGCTGATTTCCGTATTTCTGACGCTAGATACCAAGACAGGAAACGAAACAACTAGTTGGACTTCAACCGGGTTCAGTTGATGGCTACAGGTCAACCTCTAAGGCCGAACACTGTTGAGGGATTGGTTGCGTTTAATGAGCTGCGGCGTGAAACCCGTGATGCCCCAGGTCTCTTTTCACCCAGCTCCCCGGGACGACCGTGTGCCATGGATGCCATCGTTAGATCCCCATGTTTGGATGGTCAAATCATCACGTCCACGTCTGAAAACGGAGATCACAACCCAGCTGGGAACCAGCTGTGAATAGTGAAAATCCATGGATAAAGCATGATAATCCATGGACTATGGACTTTGGGGTTCCCTATTTTCAGAGAAAACCATTTACCAACATTTGCTTGGTGGATGCTACTATCGATGTATCGATAAGTTGATTTATAAACAACCATAAAACCCCATAAAAAGTATTAGATCAACCTATTTTCTAGATATATCATGGATATATCTAGCTTATATAAAACCCTAATATACTATGCCACCAGAAAAACTCATCAACTCATCAACCACCACTAAAAAAAACCATGGTTACCACCAACCCCTTGGCGGCCTGCATAGGGCGAAGGTCCAAGCTTCTGGATCTCTGTCCGATGGCACCTAAGGCGTTTCGGGGCAGCGACGGATGAGCACATGCTGGGAGCATAGGAAAATTCAACGATAGAATTAATGTTATAATTGGAAATTTGTTGATGATATAATGAATGATATAATGAATGATATAATATGATATAGTTGGGAAATTGTTGGTGATATAATGAATGATATAATATGATATAATATGATCTAGTTGGAAATTGATTGATGATATAATGAATGAAATAATATGATATATGGAAATTTGTTGATGATATAATGAACGATATAATTAATGATATATTTGGAATTTTTTGATGATACAATGAATGATATAATGAATGATATAATGAATGAGATAGTTGGAAATGTGTTGATGATATAATGAATAATGAATGATATATATATATAATGATATTAAATGATACATGATGATATACATGATGATATAACCATCTTGGTCGCAGGGATCACCACATCTCCCGGGGACGGGATTTCTGAAAAAAAAAACATCCCAATTTCATGTGAAAGACCCTGAAACTGACATAGGAATATGTTTTTGCAATTTGAAGTCATGATGTTATAATGTTTAGGTGCGATTGGGGCTTGTCTCAACCTTTCGAAGCATAACACCCCATCGATTAGACATGGTTTTCCAAAGCTTAGAACATTATTTTTGAAGGAATCATGTATACAAGAATAAATTTGCTCGATATCACCATCAATGGTCCATCGAATTGTACATTGGAAATTACCTTGGAATTATTTCCCACGTGGTGTCTGAAAATCGTCTCTGAGACTCCGCACGCCCAGCTGTGACCTCAGAAATCGCAAAAAAAACAAAAACCTCCGTGAAACGTGAAGAACCGTCAGGGGATCATGCCTAAGGAAACATAACGCATGCTTGAAACCACCAGCTATTTGAGGGATTTGTATATAGTGATTTGAGATGACTTTTGATTTTTGTCTTATAGTTACTGCCTGGTTGAGATGTCTAACTGCGCAGTCGGCTTGTCGCTTCGGACTTGACCCGGTTGGTGGCGGTGGCTCTCTATTTATGGTTCATATTAAGATTAATTTGTGGACACCCAAAATCCCCCGGAGACATCCTGAGACTCAGAAGTGCTTTTGGGATCTTTTGGATCTTTTGGATCTTTTGGATTGGTGTGCATCAGGTGTGAAGTAGATCTTGAAGGACTTTGGAGTTCCCAAAGTTCCCAAGATTTCCCAAGTTGGGGAAGCAAGCCCTGGGTTCCCCCGCGGCAGGAACACACACCCGCATGGTGAAAGGTCTGGCAGAGGCAGCCACTCACCTGTGCCCATGTGAGAGTTTCCACAAAGGGCAAAGAAAACAGAATAGAAATTGGAAAGTTATATTTCATGGAAATTTCAATAAACAATACACATCACATAACAATACATAGATGGTTTATTTCATGGAAAATCCGGACATAAAAATTGCATGATTTGGGACCCAAAATTTTAGGAAACCTTCCTTTTTATGGGCAATTTCATATGTAGGGGGATGGGATTACAATAGAACAGCATCTGGTCTTATAGTGTCTTCACTTTGGGTACGGCATCGCGGCTTCGCGGCTCTGCCCATCACGCTCAGAAACCAAGATCTCTTCACAAATCATCATTGGGTTACTAGTAGTCACTAGAGTAACTTCAAAAAAAGAACAGAAATGGACAGAACTGGTTCAATTTACATTGTAAATTACCATCTTATAAAATTGAGAGGAATCCAATCCAGTCCAATAGAGTGGTAATTTCTTATAAATTGATATAAATTGTGAGGATTGGATTTTACCAGATTCTGCACCTTCTTATTCGTCTGCAGGGAACAAAAAAACTCTAGAAACCACCGATATTTTACTGCCATACAAAGGGGGGCCGCCTAGGTTGCCTGGTTGGCGTTTTTATAAACCAACAAACATCACTGCTCGGGGGTGCAATTCCACTATATAGTAAATGGATATAAATGGCTTATTTAACTGTTGCAGTATAGTTACAGGGGCCGGATCCCACCTTATGGAGGTTGAGATCCCATAGTTATACTCCATAATAAGCCTACCTGCAACCCCCAAGTGGAGGGGGACCCGCCTGGCAGCTATGGAAGGGCTTGGCATCGTGACTTCCGGGACCATGCCCGCAGGTACACAAAGCACCTGCGGGGGATCATTCAAGGACTACGAGGCTCCTGGGGCCCTGGGGGGTCTGCACAAAAGTCCATATGCTGCAAACATGGTGATCTTGACCCGCAAAAAACTGGGTTGGGGAAGTTGTACCCGAACAAGAATGGGCATAACCTGGAATCTTGAAAAATGCATGTATATACATCTTTACGTACATGTATAAAGACCTGAAAAGTTCGCGCCAGTAAGGCTTGGTGCCTTTTTATGTGGCTATAGCGGCTACGACGAAGGCTTTTTCGTGAAGTGGGCTCGCACTGCAACATCCTTTCAACGCGGTCAGATCATTCTGCTTGAAGCAGCCTGGCGTAGCAGACAGGTACCGCAACACCGCATGGTTTTCGCCTGTTTTCTCAAACAAAAAAAATGAATTAGATAAACTATTGTATGATAATTATAGTAATATCTATTGTAGGACACCCCCCTCAAAAAAAACAAAGATAGACATGCAATTCATCACTAATTTAGTAGGAATTGACTTGTCTATCATGTCCTATCTTCTTAGCGCTTGCTATAATCAAAACTTGGTCCATTTTCAACCCCAAAGCTACAATTTTAATTCTTTACTTGCTACAGTTCCTATTCATTTTAAGTGTTCAAAAGATATGATATTCCCAAACATAGATCGACTATCAACTTATGGGGATATGATGGGATACAGCGGGGATCCGGTCATACAAGACACCATCTTTTGTTGCCTCTTTAAAAAAAAAAAAACTATTATCGAACCCTAACCAACCATCATGTATCAATGATAACCCCATATCTGTGAGGCTCCTAACAAAAGTCTCTAAATTATGCTTAGATACCATTTTTTTCCCCTGTTGATCCCTTTATATAGTATCATAGTGTGTCATATAATTTCATATCATCAACTGTACCCTCTGGTAAACTAACATAACAGTGGAAAATCACCATTTTTAATGGGTAATTCCACTATAAATCACCATTTTCAATAGCTATTTTGACATAACCAGAGGGTAAATGCTCGTCATTTTGAATTTTCCCCCCTTTAGAAATCCGAAAAAGATCGAGCCAGCGGAGCCTCTGGCGAGTCCAACTGCCAAAGCGCCGACCCACGGTGCTGCCTAGATGGGAGTCCATAGAAATGGTTGAGTTTGTGGTGATGATTTTTCCTGATAAGGTATACATCAAATGATACACAATAGGGATGTAAATTACATGGGGGTGCAGGATGGTGGCGATTGTCATGGGTATAACTCTGGGGATTTTGACTCAAACAAGTTGGGATATGCCCCCCCTCCCCTCCAAAAAAATCTATCCATCCATTTTTTTCTACCACCCAAATTTTGCTTGGGTTAATGAAAAACGAACGACAACTCCGTTCTCGGGGAGGTCTACTACCCGCGGGAAGGTTGGTGGACTCCTCATATCGGGTAGTAGTGGATCTATGAAAATTGCTGTGTGAATGCTGATTCAATGGGGATTAGAAGGAATTGTATAAATGGGAATATAATGAGATATACATAATTATACATATATATATATATATATAGCCAACATTAGCCAACATTAATGGAGGACTGGTTGGTGGTATACCTACCCCTCTGAAAAGTATGAAAGTCAATGGGAAGGATTATCCCATATATTATGGAGAATAAAAAATGTTTGAAACCACCAACCAGGAATATATATAATGGAATATAATGGTATATACATAATTATATATATATTATATATAGCCAACATTGATGGATGATCAGTGGCAATGTAACATAGCCATAGAAAACCAACCATAGTTCAATAGGTACATCTTTACAAACACACAATTTTCGCTGTGTTGGATTACCAAAGGCGTTATATATATATATATCTATACCCTTTGGTAAACAAACATAACTATGCAAAGATACACCATTTTTCATGGGTAAATCAACGAACTTTCGACTGGGCCATGGCTTCAATAGCTGTGAATGTTTACCAGAGGCTATGGTGTGTGTTATCATTAAACATCATTTATTAAACATCATCAACCATTGATAAATTGATTGATGATAAACATTTGGATGGTTTATCCCAATGGATTGTGATAAACAACCATCATCATGATGGGTAATCATCAATCATTGGTATTAACCATGGGTATTTTCCATTGATAAACTGTCCCAATCATTGAAAAAAACATCGCAATCATCCCCTTTCGGGGCTTGTTTTTTGACCCATGCCGACTGTCACCATGCTTTTGGCCGGGCCATGGAAGATCCGAAGTGCCTTCACTCTCCAAGGCAATCCACGGTGACATCCGTTCTTGGTCTTTGGCTTCCTTTTTGAGGATCAAACCAAACCCGATTATATCATGCATATCTGGCCAACAAGTATGGGTATCTTCACGAATCTTGCACTTCCGCCAAATCCTTGGATGTTGTTTTGGTAATTCCAGCCTAATAAAATGCAGTCCACAGAAGGGCCCGCATAAACAAATCCAGTACTAAACCAGGGTTTCCAGTGGGGCATTGAACATTCTGGGGAGATCTAAAGCCTAACTTTCCCAGTTGAACCCACATATTTCTACACTAAAACATATTTCGTGACCAAAAAAACACACACATCACCCGCTACCGCAGCCTGTCTCGCCTGTCTCCTCACGCACAGGCCGTCGGCTGAGGCCTGAGATCAAGCATATGGAAGTTTCCATGTGGGATACCATGGGATATCCCAAATCATTCAAGTCCTGGAGTCCTGGATGAGAAAATTTTCGTGTTGAAACAACCATGGGATATCCGACTGGGGATGACTCAAGAAAGCACCAGAAAAACCTCGGAGTCCTTGGCGGAGAAGAGGGGAACCTTCATCCTCTGAACAACAGATCTCAACACATGGTGATTGCCAAGCTCAAGCGCAGGTGATGCACTGAAACTTGGTAATATGGGGGCCCAAAAAATAGTGCCTGGGGGTGGATTTATATAAGAGTTTGCGAACTGCAACGTCACCGTTGTCACAATAGGTAGTAAAAAACACATAGAACAACATGGGCCATGGTTTCTATGGCAAACTGCAAAAAACTATCAGATGGCAATCAGGATGGCTTGTAGAACAACTGAAGTCTGTGGAAACACAAGCCTCTGAGGCTGTGATACCGAGGCGGAAACCCGTAAAAATCGGAGGCATTGGGTAGTCCACATTCCACCCCATATAGAGAACAGGGGATATTCATGTATATTCCATATATATATATATATGAGTTTCTAAATTATTAGTTGTAAGACTAAAGCTCATGTTTTTACGTATTCAATGAATATGTAAGATATTGTATCATAATATACATATATATATATATTATATTTATAATATCTCTATTACATATATAATATGATATGCATATCACATCACTGGCTTACAGGATAGTCATTCCCGCCCATCACACGATTTTTGGCCTCCTTCACTCGGTCGCGATAAGGCGGCCAGAGGCCTGACGTGGCTTTGGGCGGTAGGTTATGGTGGTTGGTTATGGCGAGGTTATAGCTATATGGATTATGGCCCATGTATAGATGGTTTACCGAACTGACACATGTTTTTTTTTGGATGGTGGTGATTAACCATCTATCAATAGCTCTTAACCATCTATCAATAGTTGTTTAAGGGGTCAACGCCCCGAAGCGGGCGTGGTTTTTTCCACGTTTGTGCTCTTTGGCAGTATACGTGTTTAACGCTCTTGCCGACTGTAAGATGACGCTACGGAAGACACGTTGCCCAACTTTGTTGCTGACATCTTGCTACCTTGACCGGGAGGGGGGTGGGGGGGTGGGGGGGTGGGGGGGGGGATGATAACGTTCCTTTCGACTGTAAGATGACGCTACCGAAGACACGTTGCCCAACTTTGTTGCTGACGTCTTGCTACCTTGACCGGGAGGGGGGTGGGGGGGATGATAACGTTCCTTTCGACTGTAAGATGACGCTACCGAAGACACGTTGCCCAACTTTGTTGCTGACGTCTTGCTACCTTGACGGGGAGGGGGGGTGGGGGGGTGGGGGGGGATGATAACGTTCGTTTCGACTGAAAGAGCACTGAGGAAAAAAAGAATGCATTCAACCTCAAGCAGATGTTGCGGAATTGCAAAAGTTTTTTTTTGGCATTTTGACATCTTGCAGCAAACGTCAAAACATCATAGATCACAAGCACAAAATACTGTAAATTACAGTGTAAAAAGGTGATTTTTGATTCAATCACCAAGTACACAATTGTAGAAAACCCACACCCGCCTCAAGGCGGTGTTCCCTTGTTTAACCATCCTGGTGGTAAAATGACCAGTTGATGACGGGCGATGACCCCTATGACATGCGATGATTCACCTTTCTGATAGGGGTCCAAGAAGCCTGTACTGTTCATAAGTTATCGAAATGGATGTGTCTGAAAATGGGGTATGCACCCACAGTTGCATAAGGAACATGATGATGAACCATCAAATTTGGAAGCACCATGTTTTCAGACAAACCCATATGGAGAATCTTCCATTCATGGATGATTTCGTGGAAAACAACATAGGTTTCCATATCTATGCCAGTTCATCCCGAGGTAATTTTGATTCCCAATTCATGGATGATGAGAACCCCCAGTGATGAAGTATAGACGAAACAACTTTATAAAACAAAACACAATTACACATATACATCAACCGAAGACGTAGTGAAAATTGATAAATCGCTCAACTGATAAAGGGCCTATCAGATTGACTGCCTAAAGGCCTGGGGTGTTCCGGTAAATGTTTCCCTGAGTGCCGATGCCACTTGCGGTAGAAGGTCATCCAGGATTCAAAATTGATCTTTGACAATTCAAAACCATCAATGATCATCAATGATAATGTGTGATATACCCAGTGGCTTCGAATCTATGATCATCTATTTCGCTTTTTGCGAATCCTTTCTGGCTCTAGTCTTCTCTCAGGCTAGGGCTTCATATAAATCACCAAAAAACTATACAAAAACTACATAAAACTACATAAAATCCAGTGATATGTTTTTTTTTTTTACACCATTCTACCCCAACAGTTCACCCAACCAAAGCGCCTCCTGACAGGTTCAATGGCGGCTTTCCCAAAGGGTCGCAGAACGGCCGTGACCGGCAAGTGGTCCTGGCACGGACGGAAATCTTGGGAAAATTTTGCGAAATTCCATCGATAAATGGCCATTGAAAGGGGCAAATCACTGAACTCAATATCAAAAAGACCTGGATTGTCCGTTATTTTTTTAACACACATTTCTGGCAGAAAAAACACATGTTTAAAGGATTCTGGCTGGATATCCATGAGGTTCCCCATTTCTGCGGTTCAAAATAATGGACTAAATTACTTAACCCAGGCTACCTACCTAATTGAAAGAAATTCAGCATTCCTAAAAATGATAGCTGGACCGATTTGGCCCCTGAGGTTTTGCGTGTTTGACACATGTGAATCATTTGTATCTGGAGGGCTTAGGTATCTAATTACAGTCATAGGTGGACTAGAAAATGATTTGTGGATACAGGATGATATGAGCACCTCAATCTCTCCAGATGAGTCACTTCCCAAGCGACATCTGAAAACAGTGGGTCTGTGGAGTACAAACATCTGTGAGATAAGAGTCAGCAATCAGCATCCCCCTCTGCGATTTTGCACATGCATAAACACCAAACAAAAACGATTTGAACGGACTGTTGGTGATCTGTTGTCAACATAGCCTCCTTCAACATAAACATCATCCTCGCGGTTTATGTTAATTTCCACCTGACCTTCTGGGCTTTCACCGCAAACTCAAGAACTGTGCCTGGCCATACACCATCCCAGTTTTTTGCTCCCCACAAGACTCAGCCGCCGCCCTGTCGCCACCTATCTTTTGCCTTACCGACCCCAACCTTCCAAAACCAAAAAAAGACGATGATCTTATTTTCTCCAGATTGTTTTTTTTAACAAGTCCCCAACCTTGACAACTAGCAAAAATCTATGGTTTCCACACTTTTTTCTCATAGTTCCATGTTTTTTTTACCAAAAATCACCCACAAATCCATCCCAGCCCCTGAGGTCCCCGGCTGAGGGTTCGTATTGGTTGGGCAGATGAGCAGTGCCCTCCCCCAGCGTGGGCAGCCGCTCCACCCCCATCACCTTTCGAGCAGCGGGGTCCAACCGATGACCATTGTAGGCTTAGCATGAATTACCCTCTGGTAAACATACAAAAAACTATGGAAGATAACCATCTTTAATAGGTACATCAACTATTAATGCGCCATGTTCAAAAGCAAACTGTTAAATTTCCAGAGAGCAATCCAAAATGACACATATGATAATATGTAGGTCTTGTACTAATCCATTGAGTTATGATAATATATTGGTGATGACCATATTATATAATTAATCCATTGTTTAATGTTTATTTTCAGAAGTAATATATATATATTATTCCAATCGTTGGCACATCATGATGATTCAATGAATATTAATATCAAATTTAATATGTATTGTCCAATTGGACTAACATTGACATTGATTTAATCATACGCGTGTATCATGTGCTTTGTCCAATTGATAATATTGAGAATGGATTCAATATTGATAATGTTATGTAAATATATCGATATGATTCGATATGTATTCATTTTTTTATGGTCCATATATCAAATGGAATGATGATTAAATGTTCATTGTAAAATAATGTGTGTGTGTCAAGGTTTGTAATTATGATTTACGATTTGCATTGTAAATATGGTTCTTTCTTCATAATTAATCATGATGATTGCATTGAAGTCCACAGTTCAATGTGTAATCTATGTTTCATGATATGTTTCATGATATGTTTCATGATATGTTTCATGATATGCTTCATGATATGTTTCATGATCTGCTTGCTTTGTTACAGTTTTGCAAATCCAATCCAATCATTCAATGTGGATGGATTGCTTTGATCATGAAGGTCATTGCATGCTTAATGGTGTACCCTGTATGTTGCTTATGGATATGTTCCGGGATATGTTTATGTTCATGTCTATATATCGATGGCAATCAAATTTCGGAACAAACAGGATGTCCTTGGATGTTGCACCCATCTTCCCCATGCAGAATCAGTGTGGGCAAGATGATTTGTCATAATCCTATCCTTGCCTCATAGATACGAATCAACAATTCAGGCCCGAAAAACAAAAAAACATGTATTGTAGCTCGCTGGAAAATGCCCCGTTTAGTTCTATGATTTTTCCAGCTAGAAACCTCCATGTGTGGTGGATTTTCAAGCTAGCCATGTTTGATGACACCGGAGGGTATTCTATTAAATAGCCCATTCTCCCAATATTATCCATCAATATCCATTATCAACTTTTGAATAACTATATTAACCATCATATCCCCATCGTATCCCATTGACTATCTCATTGGATTTCCCATATTACAATCCCAATTTTTGCTGGCTCACCATTTTCCAATATGATTTTCCTCGTCTTTTCCCATTCAAATCTCCAATTCGTTCTTATAATTTTCCGTGTTTTTCCTATGAATTTCCCATGCTTTCCCCATTCAAAACTCAATTTTCTTCGGTAAAATTGCGGCGCCGCCTCAGGATGCTTCGACCTCAGCCATAGCGACTTACGATTTGGGGAGTTTACCGGGTTTACCCCTCTGGTAATTTAAGATATGGAAAATCGTCCCATAGAAATAGTGAATTGTCCCATAAAAAAAGGTGATTTTCCATAGTTATGCTACAGTTATGTTAGTTTACCAGAGAGTAGTAAAGGAAAATCCCAAAGATAGATGATATAAATCCAATTCATATATAGTTGATGATAGTTGGTAATATCCCATGATAGTTGGTTAATGTTAGGTAATATCCCATGATAGTTATAATGGAACATATTATCATCAACTATAATCAACTATGATAATATAGGGTGGTTCCAAAGTCATGGGGGATCCCCAATAGCTGGATGGTTTAGTAGTGGAAAATCCGAACCTAAAACGGATGATTTAGGGGTACCCCCATTTCAGGAAACCTCCATTTAGGCTTTACATGGTGAATCCAAGCTGTCAAAAAAAAACTGGTGAACGGACGATTTCACCATTGAAATCACAAAAAAAAATATAATAGTTTGTATGTAACCAAGGTTGACCCTAAACTGATAGGACCCAGTTTAATAGAATATCAAAACATATCAAAACTAAATTATACTAAATTATACTAAATTGATATACAACGGGAAGATAAGTGTAGGATATAACTCGATCAAAAATAAATGGAAACTAATGGATTTTTGATGGACTATAATTTTAATGGAATATGAGTGCCAGTATATTTCATGGGATACAACTAATTAAACCAATAGCACTGGAGAGGGAAGGGTGAAGGATCGAAAGGTAGGTGTGGATTGGAACCCCAGCGGTGTGGGGGAGGGATACGTTAGGGAATGACAGCAGAGAGACCTATCCAGCAAAAAGTGGCCGCACTGGGCCACTGGGACAGCAAATTTTGACAAAACATGGTTGCAGGTCTCCCTCCCCTCAGCCTTCGATTCCCACTAGGCCCGTTTAAAAACAGTAGCCCAACCCATTAGCGCAAGATAAGTTTAACCAAACCTTTTGCCACACGCTTTTACCTTGCTGCTTTGTTCGTAGCCAAGTAGAACTGCGTCCAACACAATTCAAACCGGAAACTCTGAGTGCGTGATCGTGACATTCAGGCATCTATTTTTGTTGTTGTTGTTGCTGTTGCTGCTGTTGCTGTTGCTGCTGTTGCTAATGCTGCTGTTGTTGGTGTTGCTGTTGCTGCTGTTGTTGGTGTTGCTGTTGCTGTTGCTGCTGTTGCTGTTGCTGGTGCTGTTGCTGCTGTTGCTGTTGATGCTGCTGTTGCTGTTGCTGCTGCTATTGCTGCTGTTGCTGTTGCTGCTGCTGTTGCTGTTGTTGCTGTTGCTTTTGCCGTTGCTGTTGCTACTGTTGCTGCTGTTGCTTTTGCCGTTGCTGTTGCTGCTGTTGCTGTTGCTGCTGTTGCTGCTGTTGCTGTTGCTGCTGTTGCTGTTGCTGCTGTTGCTTTTGCCGTTGCTGTTGTTGCTGCTGTTGCTGTTGCTGTTGCTGTTGCTGTTGTTGTTGCGGTTGCTGTTGCTGTTGTTGTTGTTGCTGTTGCTGTTGCTGCTGTTGCTGTTGCTGCTGTTGCTGCTGTTGCTGCTGTTGCTGCTGTTGCTGTTGCTGTTGTTGCTGCTGTTGTTGTTGTTGTGGTTGTTGTTGTTGTTGTCGTTATTGTGGTTGGTCGTTGGTCGTTGGTCGTTGGCTCTTGCTGGTCTGTTGGTGGTCTGTAATTGGTGGTCTGTAATTGGTGGTTTGTAATTGGTGGTTTGTAATTGGTGGTGTGTTGGTGGTCTGTTGGTGGTCTGTTGGTGGTGTGTAGTTGGTGGTCTGTGGTTGGTGGTTTGGCTTTTTGGTGATTGGTTGTTGTTTGTCGTTGGTCGATGGTCGGTGGTCGACGCTTGTGGTTGTTGTTGTTGTTGTTGCTGGTTGCTGGTTGCTGGAAGCTTGTTGATTGTTAGTTTAACAGAGTACTCCTGTCCTTGAAATTAACATAGACCCTGCCATTTTTGGGGTTAGAAGATTAGTTCCCTTTGTTGCTGTTGGGCATGGTAATGCTCATATTTCATGGGATATAGCATTAGATGGATCAATTATATTGTTTATTAACATGAAATAAATGTGTTTAAATCCATTTTTGGGAGTGTTGCCCCTGACTAATCATCATTCTCTAGTGACGTCGGGGCGTGAGGTCGTTACAGTCATTAAGGTATACAGTATACGTATAGCAACCGCCACAAAGATCAAAAACAAGAAACACAACATTATATACTACTATATTCATTGGATTTTTACTATCTAGAATTACAGTAATACATATTGATTATTATCATATCATAGCAACCACTATAATCCACCCAGTCTATCTGTCTGTTTGGATCTTTTTGGACTCTGTCAAATGCTTAGACCCGCTGGGTGCAGATGGGCTGATGCTTTCAACTTCGCAAACTGGGATCATCATCATCCCAGTATAGTTGGGATATGTTGGGATGATGGATGACACAACATTTTTCGATTGATGGAAAATGGATCATCATCCCAATAGCTGATATGTTGGGATAGAAAATGACAACAATGACACAACATTTTTCTGCCGTTTTTCGACACACCGTGATGAGAGATTTTGTTGATCATCTCTTGAAAACGCCAGCGCGTTTGAAACCAGCAACGATTCGTTTCATGCTTTGTAGATCTTTCCCAAGATAGCTTCCCAGTCCCATGGAGTCCCATGGAGTCCCCCCCGGTGAACCGACCAATGAATTTCCGTGGTTTTCCGAGCACCATGAACCCATGGGGATCGTACACGAAAATGTAGTCCAACGTTCCGATGAAGGGCTCCTCGTCCTAACGGATCCAGATGTTATGCAGCTTGGGATTATGCTCGTTAGAGATGTACACGACATAAGGTACAAGATATTGTAAGGGGTAAAATATTAGATATAAAATGACTATGTATGGTTATATGATATATCAAAAATGTACGTACCCAGTTTGACAAATGTTTGTATGAATTTGTATGTATATGTGGCTTAATGTGGAAACATACGCAGATTGAGTTTGACTGACTGACCAAACGCATCCTGTTGAAAACAGGGGACAACAATAATCATGCAAATCACTAATCAACGAGGCTCACTGAACAAAAACCGTGCACACTTTTGCACCTTTCAAAGGCCAAAAAAAAACCATCGACGATCACATTGAGGCAAACTCTTCTGAAAACGACGAAAACGACTCGTTCTCGCACAAGTTAGAGTGATATTGCACCATTGAATTTCCATGATTGTCGGTAGATTCTCAATTGATTGAAAAAGTTCCTGTAAACTAACATAGATGTGGAAAACCCACGATTTTGTAGATCATATAGTAATTAAATAATTTTCCTAGGGAAACCATGTTTTCTTTCCACATCTATGTAATTAAGTTGACCCGATGGTAAGATCCCTGAATCATGGTCTCCCCTAACGCCACCGCGCTGCTTTCGGCAGATCTTCACTCTCACCACTACGTTAGCAGGGGCAAGCGCACCCCATGTTTTTGGCGCGCTGCCGGGGGAAGAAAAAAACAGTTGCAACTGTATAGCATATTATATATATATTATGCACATATATTGTGGAATCAGAAAATCAATGCCTTTTCAAAGGCGTTGATAAATCTTTAGCAGAATAATAATCTAAACATGTACCCTCTGGTAAACCAACATAACTATGGAAAATCACCCTTTTTAATAGGTAAATCAACTATAAAGGGGCCATGTTCAATAGCAAACTGTTAGTTTACCGGTAGAATCGTTGCATATCGTTGTAATAAACAGCGGTTGCCAACCTGCCATCTTGGTTACTTCGCCCAAAGCAAGAAGCCAGATGTGCGGCTGTTAGGTATATATATAATATACACCTCAATATCATTGAATATATGGATAATATTAATAAATAAATACATATACATATATTATTATACATACATCTATTATATAGTTATACAGTTATACACATGATATACTGTGTGTGATACACTATTGATAGATCACCATCATAGTATGTCTCTATATCAGCAACATTCATTAACATTCGGAGAACCATCACAACTATTAATTATAAACACCTCACATATCATTGCCAAACAAAAACATACTACAACTCATATGAACAGCATATATCATCATGCTTTAAAACGGAAACAACGAAAACTCACATTTCATGATGATGATACATATATATATACATATACATATATACATATTATTATATCATATATGTGATATTCATATGATCCACAAATCATTCCAAATAATATTCGTGATCCAACATAAGTCAGCTGGGCTCGTCATCGGCGTCGATGAAGCCTTTGAGATGCTCCTGAGCCCAGCCATTTTTCGTCGGCGAACATGGTGATTTCATGGTGATTTAGGATGAAATGGCCATAGAAATAGTGGATTTACCCATTAAAAATGGGATTTTCCACAGTAAATGATAGTTAACCTGGTTGGTGGTATACCTACCCCTCTGAAAAAATATGACTCCGTCACGTGGGATGATGATTCTTCCCAACTGAATGGAAAATAAAAAAACATGTTCCATACCACCAACCAGATAATGGAACATCATGGAGTTTTTTTCAGGGCAATCACTACTTGGAGGACTGGTTGGTGGTTCTAACCATCTTGAAAAATATTAGTCAATGGGAAGGATTATCCCATATATTATGGAAAATAAAACATGTTTGAAACCACCAACCAAAGGATCATAGATCATAGATCGTTCAAGTGAATAGTAACCATAGTTAGTCCACCCATTTATGAATAGGATAACCCCACATTCAGTGGGGACTTACTGACGATCCGACTGGGCATTTATAAACCACTGACGATCCGACGATCTGTGGGATGATCCTCCAAGCGCCCCTGCTGCCCAATAAACATCAGGATAGCTGCTTGTTGATGCTCATTTTCCCCCGTTCATATCAATGGATATTTCCGTGAAAAAAAAACAAATAAAGTGGGGACCTCCAGTTTCTAAGTTGGCTCATAGACCCCTCCAACTGCATATCTATATCACATATAATATATAATACTGTAGATATAAATATTATGCATAATATTGTGTCATACAATATCAAAAATCAATCCTCAGTTTGTTTTTTCAAATTACCGGCCAACCTACCAAGCACTTCTGCATCCACTGTAAAATCCAGCAACCCGTGGTGGCCCAGTAGGGCCCAGTGCCTCCAACCAGCCCACTTCCAACTCTTTCTTTCCTAGCAGGATCGGCATCCAAAAAGTCACTAAACACAACACGGCGCCTGATCTTGGAATCTTCATCAAGCCCGTTTCAGACTAGTTAACTTATAATATAAATATATATAAATTATATAGTCATGAGATGTCATGAGTCATAAGGGTCTGTCTGAAAATGCGAGCGCGGATAAAATTGCCATCCATATCTCCAAACTACAGGGAAAATGCTGGTGAACTATGGTGAACTGGTGAAGCCATGATTTAGGGATACGATTTTCAGACCCAAAGGGAACCATGGGAACCCTGGTATTGACCCGAGATGTCCGGGCCCATTTTCTGCTTGGCAAGTCATTGCTACTCGTTTTTTTCTGGGGCATTTCAAGACCCATAGGATCCATGTATGGTATATATGCTAACATTGGGGGTATATTAATGGTAAATGTTACCATATATAGCATACATGGATCCTATGGGAGATGACAATCAATCGTCGAGCAACTGCTCGCAAGTTTGCCCGGACGTTCCCAGTTTCACTTGAGCAATGATCCTACCGTCGACGATGACGAAGCAAAATCATCGCGAATCATCATTTAACTTTGGTTGGTGGTTTCAACCCCTCATATTAGTCAGTTGGGATGATTAATTATTCCCAATATATGGAAAAATAACATAATGTGTCAAACCACCAACCAGTAACTATTATTCCACGTAATTAATTATCTCCCGTACTCAGATCCTTCATCCCAAAGCATGGCTTGGTTCATGTAGAGTTCGCCAAAAGTGGCGCCTGCGCGGCCCGCGCCTTCAGAATCCAACATGAAAAAGAGCTCTTTGTACTCTGAGATCGACTGATAGCTCTGGGCGCAGGGCGATGAAAAAAAAACACATTTTTGGAGGATGCTGGGTGGATCATAGCCGGGACTATGCCGGAATACCATGGATGAATTTGATGCAAGAATAGCCCAAAAAGTACATTGACACCGACTCTCAACATGGCCAAGGTTTAATGGCAACCAACTAGAATTCCAAGCTTGTATTTGGCAAGGTCTATGTTAGAAAGGGGGGATGGTGCAAGGAACTCTTGACTCTTGAATCTTTTCATCAAATTCAAATTCAATTCTGGCAACTTTAGGAGTTTGCAGCCAAGGGTTTGGGGTTTACTGTCATGGACACGGGCCCTTATCGCTTGCAAATGTCGACAAAGGTTCTAGGTGCAATTTATACCTACCCACAAGTGGCTTCAACATCACATCCTCGGGGCTGCAGGCGCTCGGGCGTATGGAATGGGTACAACTATGGGATTTTTTAACAGGCTTTAACCTTCATCAGTTGGGATGTGAGCCCCCTACAACCGTGGTGAAATTTAACATATTTTTAACATAATATCACCCAATTCTTATGGTTCCACTGCGCTCCCAAGTGTAAATAGCTGGGGAGTTGCACCAACCGTCACCAACCCCTCCAGGTTGCCGCGCCATCAGCTCAAGGCCAGTACAGAAGTCCTCGCGCCACAGATTGGGGACTAACCATGGGATTGATCCGTTCAGATGGCATAAATCGGGGCATAAAGAGTAAGAAGTGGGATTGCAACCCCATGATGATCATGATGTGTTTCCTCTGATTTTATGTGACTTTGAACCAATCGCATGATTTTTATTAGCGGTTTCTGGAGGGAAGGCAGGTTTTGGATTCCTTCCTGCAGCTTTTGGACAAAAGCTCTGAGCAAACATGATGAAAAATTCCAACGGCACGGCACCTGGTATCTATCCTTTGAAAAAACGTATTGATTGAACTCAAATGATCGTTATTTTGGAACTCTGAACCAAGAAAATTGGTTCGGTTCTTCCTGTTACAATCCATAACTCATCATTACTATAGATCTTAATTGGAGATGATCCTACCCTCCTGTAAATTAACATGGATATGGAAAACCCAGCATTTGTGGATGGGCTTTCCGCATCTTTTGGTATGTTTCCCCTACACCCAAGAATTGGATACTAGAATAGCATCATTCTGAATTATCATAATTCACTCACCTGAAACGTGCGGTTATTTCGGCATACATACCCTACAGTAACATCATCATTTGTGCTGCACCCTCCAGTGGTGTTGGTCGTTGTATATCCCGGAGATCCCATGAGCCTTAGCTAACCTCGTTAGACACCAATTTAGCTATTTAAGGGGCCGTAGAATTGACTCAAAACGTGTCCTCCCAACTGAGCCGCAAATTACTGTACTATTGAATCATTGGAATTTAAGTTGGAGAAAATGGTGGGTTCAGCAACCAGTCAATTCACATAATATGCAAAAGAAAAAAAATCCGCTCCGGACACTGATCTACTTTCACGGACTAGTTTCATTGATCTTCCATATGTTACCCTCTGGTAAACTAACATAACTATGGAAAATCACCATGTTTAATGGGAAAATCCACTAAAAATGGCCATGTTCAATAGCTATGTTAAATTACCATATGTTACTTGCTTTCGTTTACTTTACAGGACTCCATCGGTGACCATGGTCCATTTGTCCTCCTGATTGATGCTGCCCTTACAGGCGCAATCAAAGGCCTCTGGCCATAGCCAGGCCAAGTCAGAATGGAAAGGGTTTTTTCGCAGCATTTGGGATATAGGACCCTTAAACATCCTAAAACTATATGGGGGGTTGCATAAATGGAGATAGCCTAAAATGGATGGTATATTTCATGAAAAATCCATCTATAAATGGATGATTTGAGGGTACCCCCACTTAGGAAACCTGCTTCCTGGTGAGAAAAAGTGGGGCTTTGCAGCCGAATTCTGATTTCATTTCTGGTGTTTCAGGCAAAAAGTGGCTTGTTTGAACCAAAAAGAGAATCAAAGAGCAACGCTCCGGGAATTAGACAGCAACGATTGGTAAAAATAGCTATTTATATCTATTTATCAAACATACAAAAACTTTTGACTGACAAACAACTATAATTATGTTAGGTTCTGACCAAAGCAACTGATTCTTAGAAAATCCTGCATACAAACACAGCGCTATGTTCTAACAACGACAACAACGACAACAACGACAACAACAACAACAACAACAAGGACAACAACAAGGACAACAACAAGGACAACACCAAGGACAACAACAAGGACAACAAGGAGGACAACAACAAAAACATCAACAAGGACAACAACAACAACAACAACAACAACAACAACAACAACAACAACAACAACAACAACAACGACAACAACGACAACAACGACAACAACGACAACAACGACAACAACAACAACAACAGCAACAACAACAACAACAACAGCAACTGCAACTGGAACAGCAACAATAAGAATAAGAAAAATAAAAAGAAAACATAATTAGAACAACAACAACAACAACTGCAACTGCAACTGCAACTGCAACAACAACAATAAGAATAATAAGAAAAATAAGAAAAACAAGAAGAAACAGAAGAACAAGAAGAAGAAGAAGAACAACAACAACAACAACAACGACAACGAGAGGGATAGTTGCAGAGGTGCAACCATGGAGTCATAGAGGTGCAACGGTGCAACCGGCAACGAAGTTGCATTCTATAACCAGGGATAGTCAACACCCTATAGACTGGCTGGTTGATAGGATGTGTTTCCATGGTTTTCCTATTTTTTGATTGTGATATTCCCATTATTTGTGTTGTAAAAGGATCATGATAATCCCCTAAACTAATCATCAACCAACTGGAGTTTTGAACACTGCTCATATGCCAACTGCCCCAACTGACCCAACTGACTGCTATCATTATGTCATCTTTCAACGCTTCAACGCCCACCAGGTAAACCTCTAGTCTTTGGAGTACCATGAAATAATACTGATGTGGTTAAATCAATGCCATGAACCACCCCATGTTTGATGGCTTATACCACCCATTTATGCTGATTTTGGGAATGGTTTATGATTGTTTTAACCACATGAATACCGTATTGTCTGGCAATTTTGGGTATCCGAATATCACATGTTTCTTCTCTTCGAACGGCGACGATTTCGAACGGGTAGCCCGGTCCCGCGGCCTCCAGCACCATCCTCATCCGTCGTGGATGTTGTCCATTCAAAAAATAGGCCAGCCTCCGCCAGGGACATCTTTGAGGGATGTCCAAACCCCCGGGGGGGCCATGTCTGTCCAAATCATCCAAACATTGACAGATATTGTTTCCCGGGATTTTTCTGGAATTTCATGGTGAGTTTTGGGAATCCTCCATTTTTTTACAATGTTAACAAACCACCCTATGAGGCTTGTGACGAATTCTGCCGGCCTCACCAATGGATGACTCAAATCCCCTGGACCTGAGGCTTCTGAGCATCCCCCAGTCATCACCATATATAGGTGGTATGGTCACTGGTCACTGGTCACCCAACATGGCTGGTTTATGACGTGGGATCCAAGGTGGGGATGGGATCTGCCAGGGGCGCGCAAAGGGGGACCTGGTTGTTTCAGAGCGATCCTTGATGTTCATCCCAAAAGCCCCAAGAAAAAGGTGATGGTTGGAGCCCAACAGTTCAACAATCATGTTGCATATTCTTTGTAGGATACTTCAGATTCATGGCCAGATTTGTATAGTAAGTACTTGGAAGTGCATCCCAGCAAGTGGTCAATCATCACTATTTAAGACTGTAAAAACGTAGGTGTATATATAATATTGCACTAGATGCACTATATACATACATAATTATCGATATATGCCGCAAATCATATTGTACCATATAACATAGCTGGGGATACTCGTTACTTTGCAACTGAGATGAGATATGAAAACGACATAAAACGACCCTTATCTTATCTCATGAAATACTAGTTGGGTCATAGCTTTCCCTACTACGGGTCAGTTCACCCACAATAACTCAGGTATTGTATAACTCCTTCGAAAAAAAAGAGAAAAAACAAGCTGGTCAGTTCCAGTTTGAAGTGGATGTATATATATATAGGATATATAATGATATATATATATATATAGTTAGTTTTAGGGGCCCCCTGTGGCCCTGTGGGGGTTCAAATACCACGGGGACCTTCAAAGCTCCCCCGCCCCCTTGCTTTTTGGGTCGCCCCACTGACTCCGGCAGCGTTGCCCCAAAGGCCCTTGAGCTGTTCGGCGAAGGCACCACCGATCTCAGGCCTGGCGAAGGCACCACCGTGGTCTATGATGGATGATCATGAATAGCGAATTTGTTATTTGCAACTCATAGCTACTTTTGCTGTTACATTATCAATAGTTACTACCGTTTTTTTGTGAATAATTATTGTTATGTACCATTATGTACTACTGTACTACTAATAGCATCTGATAGATACCAATAGTTTTGACATTCATAGTTCTTGCGATTTACTACGAAATATTGTAGTTGTTCTTTGTATTTTCAAATCTCATCAACAGTTGTTTTTGTTGTTCTTAAGAGTTATTCGTAATGATTATTGCTATAAAATAATTATTAGCAATAACCATAATGGTCATCATGATGGTCTATTGGTAGTTAATTCATTGTCAATTACTGGTCATTGAATGATACTGCTTTTTTAGTCCGGCATTTCAAATCAGTCTTGGGTTGTAAAAATGGGATTACCACAGAAGATCTCTGAACCAACATGTGCCAAAGTCACACCCTCTGAAAATCAAACATTGCAACAGAAAAGCCAACACTTACCCTCCAGTAAATTAACATAGACCCTGGCATTCATCGGGGTTGGAAGATTAGTTCTCCACTCAAAACATCGTTATTTTCAGTATTTTTTGCAGGGTCTATGTTAATTTACCAGAGGGTAGATTGGATACAGATAGATCATTACCCTCTGGTAAACTAACATAGCTATGGAAAATCACCATTTTTAATGGGAAAATCCACTTTTTCTATGGTCATTTTCAATAGCTACGTTAAATTACCAGAGGGTAGATCATGACTTTCCTCGATTGTCATATACACCGGCTCCGGGAGCCGGCGCATTGATCAGCTGGGTAGGTACCTTCCACATATGACAAACCTGCATCCAGCTATGACTAATATCTATAGCAACCACCAAAAGATTAAAACAACAATAACAAACTTTAAAACTTGGGGCCAAAATATGGTACTGTTAAATCCCCCAACACAATAGAAACGATAAATCTATGACTATTTCGGTGAGATGTTACTTTTCTATCTTTCTGAGGAGATCCCTATACATCGCTAACAAATCACTAGAAAATCGTAAAACCCATTAAACAAAAAAAAAAACTAATAACCCCTTAAAAACACCCAGATTTTTTTTACATTCCATAAGAACCACGAAACATCCATATATGAATCTCTATAAATTATAATAAATAAAATGTCCTTTAAACGTCTATATCAATTCCCAAAGAAACCCGGAAAAAAAAATAAAACATCCCAATAAATTCCTGAAAAACCCCTAAAACTGACTATGAAATCACTAAGAAAACCCTAGAAATCATTGAACCAAGGCACTTCACTTTCAGCGCCATGTCATTGCCATGGTGAAACCTCAAGTGGTCATAGCGGCTATTCACGCTAGGGCAACCCGAATCCTTAGCTAAGTCGGTGAACATAACTAGCATAACTAGGGTTTATGGTTACAACATGTTACAACTATATAGTGAATGGGGTTTATATGGGTTTATAAGGTCTGTAAACCAATTACAAGTAGGATGTATTCCAGATATACCTAATCAATTGATGTCAGAGGGATTTATACACCTATAAACCAACTTAGAACTGGGGTATGCAATAATGCGGGGGATCCAAACATGTTGTGTATCCCATAATGCGGGGGATCCATACATTATGTTGTGATAGGACATCCATAATTACGAACCATCCACAAATTGCGGTTGCCGTTCTAATGCTATTTACATAATTTTACATCAAGTTACCCTATGTTACCCTCCATGATTTCGAAGGACAATGATATGGCACATCCATGATTTCGAAGGACAATGATCTACTTTCATGCTGGGTATTCTATATGCAATTTTACTGAAGGGTACGTGTGCAGTGTGTTTTTCCAGATAAGCTTACATACACCTAAGAAAGTGCCGTTTTGTGTGGTGTGGTAGGGTGTGTTGCGTTCTGCCCGTGGCCAAACAACTATATGGCATCCGGAACAACGACTGATCCATCACCAGAAACATCAAAATAAAACCATGATAACAAGGATCACGATGACGATGATGACGAGGTTGTTGATAATGTTTATGATACAATGACAAGAATGTTCACAATGGTGATGGCGATGATGATCATGATAAAAATGATGATTATGATGATGACGACGATGATGATGACGACGACGATGATGATGATTATCATCATCATCATCATCATCATTATTAAGCTTACTATTACTAATAATAAGTATTATCATTATCATTATTATTATTATACGTTATATGTTCTTAACGTTATCGTCCATCTCATGATGATTACTACTATTCTTACTACTGTGATGGTGACGATGATCCAGGCCAGGAATCTTCGAAGCCAGGCAACTCTGCTTTGGGCGCATCACCACATGGGTCCTCGTTGGGAGATTTTTTCGATCCAGTTGTTGATCGTCTCCCTTGTCCAAGAATCGTCCTCAATACCTACCCTCTGGTTATGACTAACATAGCCATGGTATAGATGGCCCATTTGTAGATGGTTTACCTATTAAAAATGGTGATTTTCCATGGCTATGTTAAATAACCAGATGGTAATATAAAATTGATATTATGTAGTTGTTTGATAGTTGTGATAAAACCATATAAAACCAGAACTTCTTATCTTTAGCTCGATATCATGGTTGTACTGTTGTACTTATAATCTCTTACGTTACATGACATATCCCATCAGCCCCCGATTAATGAACCATTGCTAATTAATTTGGTGTATTCTCCGCCAAAACGTGAGTTCATCTGGTATTAAAATGGCACCCTTCAATTAAACAGACCAGTGTTTATTAATCGGGGCTGACATCAAGAATTTAACTGTAAAACCCATTAGTATTGATGTAGTTATAGTAATGAATATGCGTATTATCGATGGAATTTACTAATTGCCGGGCTACTAATGTTGATTGAATCTCAATTATATCTGGGTTCGTCTTAAAATACGGTACCCTCAAAATTATATGCTTCATCATAATTGTCCGTATTTCAATAGTAACCATTTTGAAATTTTGGGGGGTACAGCCCATTTTCAGACACATCCATATAATTCCATATACTGTATATTGTTGGTTAGTTTTATCAGTTATATCTTAAACTTCCACAAATATCCGATGATTCTTTATCACCATTGTGGCTGCTGAAATACCAATTTGTTGATACACCATCGCTATCCATGACTCATCATGACTCATCATGACTCATCATGACTCATCATGACTCATCATGACTCATCACGACTCATCATGACTCATCATCCGAGCAACAGAGGTGATCTCTTCAATGTCTTTCAATTTTTCGAAGAGTCTTTGCATCTTTCCCCCCTGTCGCGAGCTGGATTCGACAAGCGCAAGCGCGAAATCGCTTGCGGTCAAGGATTGGATGTTGCATGGAACCGCAACAATTGGATCTGCAAGATGATTTTCATATTGGATATCGCATCTTTTGGGTACCATGCTTAATCTACGGAGTCTTTTTGCAATAACTTCAGCAAGCACCCGCAAGGGAAGACACTGTGGGTTTGCCATAGGGTACCCAGAAAAGTTCACGCTGGATTATCAGTTTGCCCCGATTTTTTTGACCAAGCCTATACCACCAATTGGTAATGCACAAAAGACCCATACCACACATATTCGGGTTCAGGCAAGCACAATCCTACATAAAACTACATATTACAGTAATGTGGGAAACCCACAATAATAAACCCACCATTCGGGGATGGTTTACAGGACCCATTTATGGTGATTCTGGGGATTGTTTATGATTGGGTTTACCACATTACCACATGAACATTTTTTGGGATTAATTACCCTCCAGTAATTTGTTACATAGCTATTGAAAAACGGCCATAGAAATAGTTGATGTTCCCATTAAACATGGTGGATTTTCCCATCAGTTTTTTGTATGTTTACCAGGCCGGGTAATTGTATACATAGGCTGATGTCCCATGATGTCCCTATGATGACTTCCCTATGTTTAACATTGAATCATCCCATCGTATCCCCAGAACGTCCTTCTTGGTCCATATGAAAAAAATCAGGTCTTCACCGATATCAAGTTGGTACCCTCTGGTTATGTCAAAATAGCTATTGAAAATGGCCATTTATAGTGGATTTACCCATTGAAAATGGTGATTTTCCATAGTTATGTGACAGTTTACCAGAGGGTATATCGAATGATCGGTCAAGTTTAGAGACAAAAACCATCATTGATATTGTTGGTTCTATCTCCCATTCAATATATACCCATTGGCACCCCTATAAATCCCTATTTTTTCATGGCTGAATCCAAATTCACAATGGCTGATGGGGGGGTTCCAAAATGTGAATCAACCCCAACTTCAACTGCCATGTTCCCACATTTATAGCCCTTAACATAACAGTTGTAAATGCGATTCTAACTCCTGCAACTAAGAGTTGGTTCTATATCATATATATCACTGACATGTGGTTTTCGAAGCCACTTTCTAACTGAGGCCATAATAGCAAAAACAATTGAGGATGGGTCAAATTAAATTCAATTTATACCATTAATCACCACATGTCTGTTGTGTTTTTAAACATCCATAGGATCCCTACAGCATCCCATTTCCAAGCCGCCCCAGGACCTCCAACACGCGGTGCGGGATCTGAAGCCGCGCCATGTGCTGGTGGGTGTCATTGGCCAAAGAACCTCGGGTGACGCAGGTGAGAAGGGAAGATCATGGCTGTTGAATGCGATGTTCCCATCGTTTTCGCAGTTTTTGGCCATTCAGACCTCCATGATTTTGGTTAAAAAAATCCAGTGGATTTCCAACTTTTTCTTGTATCTGGAACATCATGGGGATATTACCCTTTGAATGTGTCAATATGTGTCAATCAAACATGGCTGCAAAATCCCCAATGGAAGTTTCAACACACCTGTGATTTTGGCCAGAAACATATTATTCCCCCAGCCAACATGGACCCTATCATGCATAGGGAGTTGGAATGGGGTCTATGTTAATTTTGGGGATGGTAAACACATGTGATTTTTGCAGGATAATTGAAGACACATAGACCTTTCCGGGAAAAAAAAAAACAAAACATTAAAACAAAAAAAATGTTTGGCCAACAAAAACTGGTGAGCCAGCGAATTATGATTGTTGATCACATATTCTCAAGGAGGCAAACGCTAAACCAAACATTTTCCCAAAATATGTGTCACGCGTAAAGCATGCCAAATTCGGAATGGGTCAAAGTTGGGTTCTCCACAAATTGGATCCTTCCTGTGCTTATACTGAAATTCATGTATATACCCTCTGGTAAACTAACATTTTGCAATGGAAAATCACCATTTTTAATGGGCAAATCCACTATAAATGGCCATTTTCAATAGCTATTTTGACATAACCAGAGGGTAAATGTTTATGACAAACATCTGTGGCTAATGCACAAATAAAGAACAAACGTCTCAGTACTGTGGCGAACATTAAGGTCATGTCACCCATGAAATCTCGGCAGCAGTTCACCCCAAAATAGCTGGAGAATGCTGGATATAGCTGGGTGTTCATCCACCTCAAATACACGGTATGGTCTATGATCACTACCCACTGGTAGCTTAACATAGCTATTGAAAATTGCAGACTTATAGTTGATTTACCTATAAAGATTGTGATTTTCCATAGCAAACTGTTAGTTTTCCAGAGGGTAATCATCAAATTTGGCAACATCCCACATACTATAACAATAACTCACTGACCTGAAGACTTTGGCAACATCCCATTCATTCATCCAGATTGGATCCCATTAAATTCAAAGATGTTAACTCACAATCCCATTCATATTCCATTCATATGTCATTTACAGTAATTGATATTCCATTCTATGATCCCATTATTCAATATTATTCACCAATTTAGAGTTAATTTTCCCAGCTACCAACCTCCAGCGGAGTGGTCTTTTTAGTTTCCCATATCCGCAGACCAGATATGGGGATTTCTTAAAATGGATCCCCAAAATCCATGGGTTTCAATGCAAAATGGTCGAGCCCTGGATGGATTGGGAGTACCACCATTTTTAGAAACTTCCATATGATTCCTGATCGCCGACCTAAATAACCCCGCGCCAGAGAGCGGGAAAGTCCACGTAGACGTTCAGCTTGGTTGGCCTCGGCGTCTTCCCATTATTTATCCACAGTGAATCTTAGATACCCTGCAAAAAATCTAATATCTAGTCTAGCTGGTTAGGACTAATTTTCCTAACCAAAAGTTGTGATTTTCCATTTTTACCATTGATAGGTTAAAGTACTATATCTAACCGAAAGTGGTGACTGTCCATATTTTTTTCCTATAGCTATGTCAAATTACCAGAGAGTAACTTCTATGGTTTTGGTCAAATGTTTCGTGTCAACACTGGTTGACCATCCACATACTGGGCTATCCATCACCATGAAAACAGCATCTACTGAAATGGAAGCACACAATTAACCTGGGTTGAGGGGTTTAGAACCTGGAAACTATAAAATTACAGTCAAATTAAAGCAATTTGGAACATGATTTTCCTACTCTAGCCTGGCTAATCTTGAATACCTTGCAAACAATGCTGAGTATCTTTGCTATGACATATTCCTTAATTATCAAACCACAGTTCAACCACTATCCTACATTATCCTACCAGATGTTATAAATGTCCATTTCCTAAAGTGTCCCATAGCAAAACAACATCATTTACCCTCTGGTAAACTAACATAACTGTGGAAAATCACCATTTTTAATGGGAAAATCCACTATACATGGCCATTTTCAATAGCTATGTTAAATTACCAGAGGGTACCATTCACCCGATTGTCCCCGTTGGGATCCCGGCCGACCCGTTTTGCGCCCGCCCCGCTTTGCTGGGCGTGGCACAGACCCTGGTGGATTTCACCGAGAAATGCTCATGTGACTCATGGGGCATGGGATAGAATGAGTTGGCACAAATGATGTTGGCTACCCTATGGTTATTTAACATAGCCATGGAAAATTGCCCATTTATTGTTGGTTTACCTATTAAACATGGTGATTTTCCATGGCTATGTTAGTCATAACCAGATGGTAAATACCATGGTGTTTTACCATGTATAAAACCCTTCCGGTCATTCATTAAAAACACCACTTGGGAACTGGAAGCTATGGCATCTATGGACTCGGGTCTCGGCTGGCCATGCGGAGCTGTTTTCGCCTCGCTGTCGCCATGTCCAAGGTTTCCGGCAGAATTTCCAACCAAATTCTGGAAGGAATGAAGCATACCCCGAAGGAATTCGGGAATGACTTCGCCAAACCATGCCTAATAGGGATAATTTTAAATGGGTGAATCAGTGAACCGCAGTAAAAATATGACCATCAAATACCGCAATTTCTATCTTTGTCAGGAATCATCGGTTTTTGTGGAATCTTCATCTTTGCAGTTTGGGATCGAATCGGACGTGTCAGTCAAAAATCAATTATGCTGATCAGCAGCTATGTTTCAAAGTCAATGATATCGTTCTTAATATGTGTTCTAAAATCTCCAAATGGCTTTGTCAAAAAATCAAGAATGCCCCTAAATCCATGAGTGCATCCTTTTCTCTATACAATGTTGTATGGCATACCCCGTTTTCAGAAACACCCAAATGAAACGCCATATTCCAGATACCATCAAAATCCTCAAATCATTCCTTTAAAATCCCCATGATATTCACAACACTTGTTCGTTAGTTGAATCCCATAAAATATCAACATAAAATGGTTGGTTTCATGCCATCATACCCATCATACCGATATGTTTCTAATGGTTAAACTCCTAGTTGGGTTTGTCTGATCATGGAGTATCCCTCAAAACGGCTGCTTATCATATGTTGTCACTATATCATGTTCCACATAATTTGGCTATTTGTGGGGTATACCCAATTTTCAGACCCCAAAGTTGGAGATGTTTGTGGTTCGTTCTATCCCATTGATACTGCTCATAACTATACCCATAAATTCAATATGATATACTATATATATGATAAATAATATTATTAATTAAATATATATATAATATATATAAGTTTAATACATAATATAATATAAATATAATATAAATATAATTATAATATTAATATTACATATAATATTATATATCTCCATGAAATCCCTACGATTCCCATCCTGGGGCACCCCAGCGCGAGCAGCGCTGTTGTGCAACACCTTCAGGTCGAAGAGAATGGGATCCGCCAGAACCTGAGTCCAAATGGGCGATTCGCATGAAATCCACCGCAGTTGAACAGTTGTAGATGGCAACATGGCACTGGAAAGGCTGTCGATCATGGGCTTCTCCTGAAAACTGAAGGATTGATCAGCACTTATACCAGGATACCATCTATAGTACATTACATACCGTGGATGGTTGCGAAATCCTGTATGAGTTGATGGTCTATCCCATGGCTTATCCCATTGATAATCTCATTGGGGCCGTGTGGAGGGTATATCATTAAAATCTTAAATATACTAAAATGGCAATTTGCAAAGTCCAGCTTTACTGGCGAACTACGAATGTCACAGGCACCTTTTTGTCATAGTTACCATCAGAACTGGCAACTGGTGCAGGATTTCGCACCGTAGCCCTGAGCTCATGGCATCCACTTTGGCGATCAACTCCTGCCACCGGCGCCAACGCTATCTCCAACCACGGTCAAAGCTATTGGATCCTCAACAAAAATGCCCCAAAATCGTCCCAAAATCATCCCAAAATCTGCAAATTTGATCAACCTTTTGTGGTTTTGGAGGAAATCCAACGATAAACCATCCTCAACCCATCTTTCTCATTCTGGGGGTTTGGAAAGAACAAATACCCCATCCCAAATAGGCGTTGGGTTTACCACATTTGGTTTCGCCGGTTACGCCTCATATATTGGTTACAGTAATCCCCAGAAAGATAGAAAAGTAGAATCATGCAGAATCTTACTAAAATAGCAATGTTTTTTGAGGATTGCACCTATCCTAATAACTAACAACAATAAAAGTGAAAAAAAAGTATAAAAAGTACTTAATCCTACTATGTTCATTATTTTCTGGGGTACAGTACATGAAATCCCTAAAAATAGTTACAGGATGGTGCCCCCCAGTTATAAGTTGGTTTATAAACCCCATTAAGTATAGTTATATCTGCCATAAACAATAGTTATGGGAGTTATAAACCAACTTAGCTAACTATGGGGCACCACCTTGTAGAATGTTGTAAATGATTGATTTCCTGCGGATTCCACCCTATTCCAGCCATTCCCCACGTGGCTCGTGACCTGTGGATACCTGTGGCCCCCAACGCGCTTCGTGTGGCCCTCGCGCTTGAGCCACTCCATGCGCTCGTGCACCGCCAGGTCCTCCATGTGTTGCCGCAAGGGGTCCTGCGTGCGCCAAACAAAATGGGGGGGGAATCAATGGGAATTCCAGGATCCATTTTAATGGAGGTACTGCACCATATTTTTGGCCATATGTTGGGGGTATATCCCCTGAAATTTAGGCAAATAGGCCTTATATATGGTAAGTACCTCCAATTTAGGTTCCTGAAATGGCCATTGAGGGAATGGTGATTCTTGTGGGATTTGTCTATGACATGTTTATGAATGTGATCTTTATGGGAATCGATGGACTTGACTGAGCGATGTTTTTGGTAGCTTTACGTTTGTTTGATGAATTCAATTGTATTTGAGTGGGATTAGCAACCCCCCAGTCATAGAATGTCATAGACAAACAAGTTTGGAAATCTGGAAATTATGGAGGAAACATCATCGAATTGGCATCCTGGAAAGACAATTCTATCCTTTTGGGGACTACTTTTTTATGTGTGGCCTGGTCAAGAGTCAAAACCCATTACATATAGACACTGAAGTTATATCGTTCTAAATTTGTTTGGTTATGTTTAAAAGAATGTAAAACAAGATAAAACAAGTACCAAGTGCTTGTTGGGGCTGTCAACACTGAGAGTCATTGTTGTCATCCAAATGTCAACCAAGATGATGATTTAAGGTGACCGTAAATCTTTCTGTGGCTGTGGAGGATTCCGCCTCATTCCCCAGCAAAGGGAGACTCATCCATTTCAATGATTGTGATAGACAGGTGAATTTTATAACCCGAACCACCGACTGACTTGTTGTTCTTCTTGGATGATTTGTACCACTATAACCGACTAGACTAGACTATAACTAGTTGGTGGTTGAGCCACCCCTCTGAAAAATATTAGTCAATTGGGATTATTATTCCCAATATATGGAAAAATAAAAAATGTTCCAAACCACCAACCAAATAATAACCCACAAGTAGTACTCCATTCACCACTGATGATCTTCCCCCTGTCCATCCAATGTCCATCCTGTCCTTATGCGTCTTCTTGGCGATGAGCCCAGGCTCGTCGTTGCGAAGCAAGGCGGGGGCTGATTGGGGCCTCGGGAACGACCCGACACACGCGACGAACGCGGCCGAAATTAGGGCCTTTTTGGGTAGGGAAAATACGATTCGACCCTGAGGACACATGGTTTTTGAAGCCGGGGAAAAGGACAAAATTAAATTTGAACATATTTTATCCTAGGGACATATGACATATGGACTTTGAACTGATTTAAGGTGACTCAGAAGATTCTACCAAGAAACATCTGGCCCAAAAAATGGGCATCTGACCAAGAAAAGAACACCAGAAAATCAAAACGATGGAAACGACCACAACTATATACTGATTCTGCGCCACAAAGATGAGAAAACAAGTCTGACAAGAAACACGGACTTGATTTTAAATGACTTGAATTCTATCAACACAAACAGTATAGAGCTGTGACCAAACCGAATGGGATAGAACCAACGAACATGGCAATATATTATGGCAATAAAGACGTGAGACACATCATCCACCCTTTTGGGCCATGTGATATAGGGGAAACGCCCCAAGACGTTTTGGTGTATCCTTCGTTCTGTTGGCATATCTTGACCGATGTCCCACTTTCGTTGGGTGAAACCCATGATATATTTTTACAATCTGGATACGCATCGAAAAATTACACTAAATTCACTAAATGCCAAGCCGGACTTACCATGATATGGGTGTTTCAAGAACTTTGGGTCGCCCAAAATTAGCAGTTGTCCTTTGAAACGTGACCGATCACGTGGATGATTTGGGGACTCCCCATGCTGAGAAACCACCATCTTCAACTGAACTCGCCAAATGGGTTTGTTTTGCCCCAAAAAAGTGGTTTCTGATGTATACCTCATTTTCAGACAGACCCAAATTGGAGATAGGTGGTTCTATGATATATGAATTAATATAATCAATATATTATAATAATTTATAATATACCCATTAATAGCACATTGGCCCATTAATAATTGCATGAAATATCATGAAATCCTCATTATTATGTTTTTCTCGATTCCCTTGGATTTCCTTAAGGATCCCCACCAATGCCAAAAACAATTCCCCACTTCGAGTGGATTTCCCATTCCCAGATGCTCCATGTATGGTATATTTACCCACACAAAAAAGTGATGTTTGGGGTTTCTATGTGGATAAATATGATCAATTCTCCACCACGGAGAATTTATGAGCTATGGCTGAGGAAAAAAGCGCCCCCCAGCTTCACGAGTTTCACCATGGGGATCCAGCACATTCAACCCATTTTGATTGGGATTTACCCGGCCTGGTAAACATTCACAGTTTGCCACCTTGAAAATGGCCATAGAAATAGTTGATTTATCCAGCTATAAAAGGGTGATTTCCATCGTTTTTTGTATGTTTACCAGAGGGTATCTATATGATATAGCTAATAGATGCTAATAGCCAATGATCATACGTTATATTACGCTATAACATGTTATAACCAGCTAGATCATAGATCTTTGATGTTTGGGAGTTTCAAGACGACTTCTCCATTCCACCAGGGAGTTACTCCGCCGGCCTGCGCCGGATCGCCGGGGGGGCCTCTTTCCGATGCCTCGCGGACTCGCAGCTTCAAAACGGTGGATTCCGCTGGGGGTTCTACCGGAAAAAGAAGGGCATAGCATGGCATAGCTATAGGGGGATTTATATAACATGATTTAACATGTTTTTTTTAGATCTCTCTTGGGGATTACGATGGATTGCGTTTTTTTTAGGGGAATCATTTGCATGATTTAAGCATGAAACATGGGGATAGCATGCAAAAATGATGGGATAGGTTTTCCCTGGAACCAATTCTGGGGCTTGTGAGTGTTACACTGCAACATTCACTGATACCTGAAAAACCTCTCAAGCTGGTGCTTGTGGGAAACGCGAGAAAAGCCTCAGCTCTTTAAAAGGTGGCATGAAATGAACGATGCCTTGAATCTTGTGACCACGCAAAAAAACACTCATATCCCTAACAAAAAAAAGACGTGGGCGACATTTCAGGGTGGCGCGCGCCACCTACGACAGTCACCACGCTATGCACATCCTCCACTTTTCTGTCTCTTTTTTTGGGAGATAGACTCCATCGATGGGACTCACATGATTGGTGAAACCCCAAATGATATGTGGAGGTTTCCATAAATGGGTTTATAATGGAAAATCCCAAACAAACATGGATGATTTGGGGGTACCCCTAGTGTAGGAAACCTCCATATGTGTACGTACGGTTAAATGAACAAATGTGTTGAATGTTCTAATTAACAAATATAATATCTGGCTATTTCACCCCGTATGGTTCTGAGTCAAATCCCTAGGCCCTAAGTACCTTAAAATAGCTGGTTCACGGATGTTTATCCCCCTCAGTCATATTGTAAGAATAGGTAACTTGAACCCATTCCCGTATAATTAATAGCTACGGAAGAATGCAAGCTTCAACAGCTAGATCATCATATATTGTTCATCTTTGACTGGTCCATTTTCGTTCATTTTCCATAGCGATTTGTTGTATAACCAGAGGGTAATGAGAATAATCATTGGACTATTACATATTATTAATGGGATAGAAAAATATGGATTATGAGTGGATTATCATCGTGGGAATATCATGGGAATTCATAGATTCTGGGTAAATTATAATATTTCACTAACCTGAATCTTGCGGCCATTTGGGGATGATTTTCCTTACTAACCATGATTCCAGGGCTCGGTCGCAGTGAGGTCGTGATCAAATTTACCCAGATATCATGGGAATTCATAGACGATTATCATTACAATTGTAGATTAATATGGATTATTAATGGGATTATTCCACTATATCATCATTACATCATATCATTAATACCATGGATTTGTTGTAGATTCTGCTGTTGAAACAGCTGTGATGTCGCATCGCCTGCCAGGCTCAAGCCGAGCTTTGGAGCCAGCCTAGGGGCCATTTTTTTTCGGCCAGGTTTGGGGAGATTTTTAACACAGGCCCAAGATGAACAAAAACAGCAACACAACATAGGGATTTCAATGTGAACATTGGAAAAAAACATGGTTTGTACTTACAGCAACCTGACTTATTAGACTGAGATATAATGATATATATATATATATTTCTATCTTGGATCTTATAGTTGTGTGAACATAAACAAACTTATAAGATCTTAGAAGTGGAGGGCCCCAACTTCTATGGCTAGCCCATCCTTGCGTTTGTATGTGTTTGTTGAAATATACAGTATAGTATAATTATATGCATGTATACGTATAGTTTACCACCCGAAAATTCAGAACAACATATCTGGTTGGTGGTTTCAACCTACCCCTCTGAAAAATGATGTTTCGTGAGTTCGTCAGTTGGGATTTTCTGAAATTCCCAAGTGTTTCTGGAAAGTCAGAAAAATCACCATGTTGGGATTTTCTGGAAATTCCCAAGTGTTGGGATTTTCTGAAATTCCCCATGTTCCAAAGCACCAACCAGATATCAACATGTATACCATACACCATCTTATAGTCTCCATCATCGGCACCCAGGATGTGTCCTTTTAAGACGTTGCCGTGACGTTGCATGGTGAATCCATCCGTGAAACATCGCTGGATTTAGCTGGTTAGTACATTTTAATACATGTTACCAATGATAGGGAAAACACTAAAGTACTATATAAAGATTAGTAAAGTATCTAGCCAAGGTTGATCCAAATATCAAAGTACTAAAGTATCCAACCAAAGTTGACCCAGTGCGAGCCCTTCCGCCCTTCCGCCCTTCCGGTTTCGAGGGTGTTTTATGATCAGTTCGAAGCCCCTTGGGACTCGAAAAAACCCAAAGCGAAGAGTTCTTTTCTCATGATTTGTCTTCTGGTTGGTGGTGCAATAACAATCTTCAAAAATATGAGTGCGTCAATGGGAAGGATGACATCCCATAGATTATGGAAAATAAAAAATGTTTGAAACCACCAACCAGTCTTCATTTTGGCTATTCGGATGTACCCTCTGGTAATTTGTTACATAGCTATTGAAAATGGTGATTTATAGTGGTACTAGTAAATCGGATTTACCCATTGAAAATTGTGATTTTCCATAGTTATGTTATTTTACCAGAGGGTAATGATTCACTAACATAGTATTTGACTCACTACCTTTGGGTTTCCCATGGGCTATGAAAATAGGCTACCTCCAACTGCTACACAAAAAAAGGTGGTCGATCCCCCATTTTCAGACACACCCATCTCATCTGGTTGCTGGTTGGTACGCCTACCCCTCTGAAAAATGATGGAGTGAAAGTCAGTTGGGATGATGACATTCTCAATATATGGAAAAATAAAAAATGTCCAAACCACCAACCAGTCACACACACATATATATATATATATATATTGCTGGTTAATATCATGTTATATCCCCTTTTTGTCTCCCCTTTATTAAAAAAACACAAACACACGCACACACACAGCTGAAAATGAGCCTGGAGAATTTGACTATAAAAGCGAACGGTCCCCACCCCAACGCAGAGCTCATTGAAAGTTGTTCCACGTGAGTAATACATATTCACAGGAATATCCCAGTAAATCGTTATTTTCACCGGCCAAAACCAATCTTTATTGGTAAATCTCATGAAAAATCTCCCAAATCCCACAATTTTCTAGGATCAAAGCACATCAAATCTATGATATTCGTAATTCGACCAACAACCTTTGATCTATTTCAGTTTATTTTTTTGATTTCGTCCAAAAAAACCCTGGATGCCAGGCTGGGCCGCCCGAACGGCCGATTTGGGGCGTCCACCTGGTTGATTTTCCCCAAGGAGAAACCTCTATTGATGGGGAAAATCTAAGTGCCACGGTTGATTACCGGAGGCTGTGTTTGATGGATTTGAAAGCTCAAAGCCAATTCTAATACACAAACAAATAGCCGTCTTAGGATTTCAAACTAGCTTAAAAAAGTTTGTTTTGAAGCAGCAAAAATCAGGATGTAAGAATACTCTATGAGATTCCTACGTGATTTCATAGGAATGTTGGTTTGGAACTACAGCAACTATAGGATTTACGGATCATGATTTCTGATGGATCTACAGTTATGAACGGATTGGATTGCACTTTGTCGAGGATTAAATTTTGGGGCACCAACGGAGCCGCAGAAATTGTCATTTTTTGCGGTGGAAACACTGGTTGGTGGTTGAGCCCACCCCTTCTGAAAAATATGAACGTCAAATGGGATGATGAAATTCCCAACTGAATGGAAAACAAAAAATGTTCCAAACCACCAACCAGTTCACCATCCATGTCATGGGGAGTGCTATGCGGCTATACGGCTATAACCCGTATGCCAGATGACGTTTCCACAGTTCCCTCTATTTCCTGGAACCTGGTTTCGTGCGGAGGGAGTTCGCCACAAACAAACCCATGGGACATCGCTACCAAACATCATCGGATGGGATATCGCGGTGTAGCTTTCACCATCTTTCACCCCTGCCTTTGCTTCCTGAGAGGGGGGTAGAACATGGTAGAACCACCAGTTTCTACCATTCTTGCACAATCCTGGTCGCTGTTTCTCCATGCTCCTGGGATTATTGTCCCATTCTCGTGGTATGTTTCATCTACGGTAGATTCTTATATATCATGTTTTATTGGTTAGGCTTGCGCTTTTACCCCCGCAAATCATTTCTTTGGGCTGGTTGTCAAAGTAAATATCTAGAAGTTGCTGTATTCCATGATAATTACAAATGTTTTGCAATTTTCCCTTTGGAATCCCTTTGGAAAATGGATGAACAGGGCTTTCTGTGGGATTTCATAGACAACTATCAACCTCCCTTTCCTCACCTAAGGTATTCTTGGACGACGTCCGAGCAAGAGGCAACCGACCTGACATTTCTTCAGTGGCTGCAGGTCAGGCGTGCTTTTGGCTACAACCATGGCAAAATATCGTCCAAAAGTTGGAAAATCACTAAAAAGAAACTGTGGTGATTCATATCAGTTCTAACTGGAACTGCAGTCACAAGCAATAATCACAACTAGTGTATAGTAGTCCCACAAAGGATGCCAGAAAACTTTTCCAGGATGGTAGTTGGATGTTGTGTTTCCAATTTATATATCTATGATTGGGGGGTTGCTATGTGAAAGATGATAAATATAGATACTGTAAACAATCATAAACAAGCGCTGCATCTGGTCATCAATGGTTATCCAGTGAGCAGATTAATGCAATTAGGGGATCTATATTGATATTAATGGCGAATCAATAAATTTGTAGTAAATCAACGAGAGCGAATCAACAAATCTAAAGTGAATGAGTCAATGAATGAAATGAAATGACATGAAATGAACATGAATGAATGATTTTATCATCAATCAATAAATTTCAAACTATTTTCTCATTGATCACTGATCACTGTATGAAAACATATTGATCACTATATGTTTATGTAATGTTTATGTAATGTTTATGTTATGTACATCTTGGACGAGCGTCCCACAGATCGTAACCAGCACTGGGATCACTGGGGGCTGGCACTCGTGCAAGTGTGACGCAGGGGTGTTCGAGCCTGCCATTGGCATTCTTTCGGCAGAAAACCTGGGTAAAAAAACACATATGACGCATAGCCGCATAGGCATACCATCAATGCATGGTCCTATTTTCTTACAATCAGCTACATAATCTATATAGCAG